GAAATCCGGTCGCATCACTCAAGTCAAGACAAGTAGCAAGTCTGCGCCTTGCATCATTTCGCACCCCAGTGTTTGCAGGTCGAGGGCTGCGCAACGCCTGGCGCGTACTTGAGCAACACTGTCATTGTACTGTCGTGGACATGGAAATCCGGTCGCACGGCTTGCGGCCCCAGGGCGCTGGCCATGCAGCTGTGAATCGGGGTATACTGGTCAAATTGTGATACAGAGATTGTAAACCATTCGAGGTACAAGAAAAAGCCATTAATAAAAAAATAAAAAGAGGAAGAAAAGTTTATTGTACCATCCCAGACGGGCTGAGACGGTCATTTACCAATTCTAGTAGATAAAGTATTAGTCACGCACCTACAAAATACTAGACTGTATGCAGGATACTAGTACTATTAAAATTGCCTAGCATGCCTACAAATCCGCAGAACATGCCAATATTAAATAGGCCAACATACATGTACATGTACATGTACATGTACATGTACATGTACAATGTACAATGTATGAATAACGGAGGCGGTTACATGGACAAAAGGCGGCATCGGTCGAGAAAAGATGGGTAGCCATTGGCGGACTATGCTCGGCCAATCGTCAAATTATGCTTTTGATTATGGCACAACTACATGTATGCCAACAAATATGCTGAATTATGCTCGGTTCCACTATGTATTCACGCTGTACATAGAGGATTGAGAAACCACGCCTACACACACGGCCATGCCCTAAGCATAATTTTTGTCTAAACCGAAAGATTATGCCGACCTTACACGTTGGAATCCGTATATTATGCCGGAGCATAATTTTTGGACTAAATCCCAAGATTATGCCAAATATCATGCCGGCATAATCCGCCAAGGGCTATGACAAGGAGTCGTAACTGGGGTATTTAAAAAAAAACATCTGCAGGCTTTCTGACAAAGCTGTATTATGCCCCTAAGCATAATAATTTTTTGTCTAAACCGAAAGATTATGCCGACCTTACACGTTGGAATCCGTATATTATGCCGAAGCATAGTTTTTTGACGAAATCCCAAGATTATGCCAAATATTATGCCGGCATAATCCGCCAAGGGCTAAAGATGGGCCTATTCTCTTCCGCAAGTAATAAGACGCCCTGCAACCACGAAGGCACGAGATTGACCACCTCAGCAAAACAAATGCAATTTTGCAGCGTACCTGCGCCATCACTGCCGGGTCCTGGAGGTCACTACATGTACATGTACATGTATGCTTGTTAACCACCAGCTGGACAATGTTCTTCAATGCACGAGAGCACTCCGTGCCACATACATGTACAGGTACAGGGTATGCCGTTTGTCGAAAATACGAGCGGAGTGAATGACCCCCCCCCTCTAGGCCTTGACAGATTATGCTAGCATAATTTTTCGCATAATTCCTACCAAAAGGCAAAATCGAATAATCGCATAATTCGAGGCAAATTGCATACGAATCGCATAAAATTGGAATAATCCGCCTGTTCGCATCAAATTCCATACAGTTGTACATGTTCTACAAGTATAAGACTAGTAAGTAGTATAAGTGAGCGGACAAGGTAGAAATGGAACGTTAGCTGCATGACATCATTTTGAGATACAAGCGTTTGAAGTTTGGCGAACTGTGGCTTATTTTTACCTAGGTTAGAGGGCTCTATTTGCATCAAGCGCTTGTGCCTCGTTCAGTACAAAGTTCAAGGTCCAGCACTCAAAATTTGAAGTGAATCCGTTATGGCTGAAGGAAGATATGGCAGCTAGTTGTGCGACGGGTGGCGTATTTGACGGGCGAATTTGGAGGTGACGGCGATCAGCTGATAGCCTGCTGTCAGGTGCTGAGGGCTTCTCTGATTCTGAGAGCGTTTCAGAGTCAGGTAGTCACTAGTAGTCGAGAGCGTCTTCCACGACGCCGAAAACGACGTGCCGATCAGCGTTTTGTTTCCTGCTGGTAAAGCTTGAGTGCGGTACAAAAAAGACATAGGGAAGAAATGAGATGGATCTCTCAGATGCAGGCGAACGTGGTGACAGCAGTGATGATGATAACACCAATGAAGGGGAACGTTCCTGTGGATGCTGAGTTGTACTGAATGTATACGCCGAACTGACTTCAGACCTCTGAAGCACACAGCGCAGGAGCTGAAGAAGCAATAGCGTCGTGCACCACAGGGGAACGTATACAGGGACTTAATAGCCCAGAACAACTAGCTAGCTGTTGCCCAATGCATTGGATGCAAGTGGCAGACCTGCATCGTGCACTGTCTGGAAATGAGTGTTTTAAGAATTGAGATACACAGAATGGTCAAGGCTGGTGAACATGAGCTGAGTGGAAAGAAGTCAAATCGGGCCTCGGATTGCGGACTGATGTGTAACGTTACGTTAAGTACAGTTTCTCAAGTCGGTGGACTCGTCCTGCTTCGCCAATGGGCACCGTATTGGTGGTGCGTCTCCGGAATATTATTTCGATGCTGTGTGTTCAAGTGCTGTCTGTCTCCTGCCAAAAATGTTACAAACTATATTACCAAGGTGCGCCGCTCAGTCGTCGGAAGCCTCAGTGCATCAGAGCAGAGTCCGGGGTCACCAACAGTATACGATGAGAGCGTGCACACATGGCTGAAGCAAAAACGCACTGGAATTACCATTTGTCCGCCAAATTCTTCTATTTTTGACATTTGTGTAGTGTTATTTGATGTGTGGATTGAGTACCAGCTTCAACAGTCCTATTATTTTGCCTTGCATCACGAGTTACTCTGGAGCTGATTTTCCGGCTTCGGCTGTTTTTAGTTATGTGGTTTTGTTGCTTGGTTCCACCTCAAACCAGTCTTATGTGTGTGATCAGCTCATCTTTTACACTGATATACACCTGTGGAGAAATACAGGGCAAGATAATGAGTTTTTGTTCAGTGTTTCGGTTGTACTGAAGGGTGGACTGTTTAAATCACCCCGAAACAGACGTTAAAATACCGACCGGCACCTAGAAAATGGTGTATGTAAGGCACTTCCCACCATAGTATCAGCCTGAAACTTTGGGATCTGAAGAACAGATAGTTGTAGGTGACCTTCATGCAAAAAAAAAACAGTTTTTGCCAGGCTGCAGTTAACATTCCATTTCTACCTTGTCCGCTCACAATTATTATTTTAAGTAGATGCACCAGAAAGTTGTAGGTTTACGACTCCCTTGATAACATGTCCAGTCCACTACAATCAGTGACGGTCGTAGCTATACTACTACTAGGTCGGACGGTGCGTTGACCCCGTTGAACCTTTGCTACTACAGTACAACGCCCTCTGCAAAAAATTCCCCTGTTATTTTGCACAGAACCATTATACATTAGCAGCATATGTAAGCATAATGCGGCATAATATGATAACTTTTAGCATAAAAATAGCATAATTCTGCAATTTTTCAGCAATGCGAAAAGTATAATGTCACGAAAATATTAGCATAATCTGTCAAGGCCTACCCCCCCCCCCCCCCCCCCTCTCTACATCGACAACACGCTGAAGATAGGCCCGCTTCTTCTGATGTTCATTCCGAGAAATCTGTGCAAGGACTTCCTGTCGCGACAGCAAAGACGCCGAGTGGTGAGTAACCCTCGCATCAAAGAATGCATCTTGCTGTGGCGACCAAAACTTGGCAAAAGCCCCTTGCACGGATATCCAAGCCGAAGCGAGCCTCTTCAGCACGATAAGCGGTAGTACCATGAGTACGGTAGGGCCGTAACGTTACGTCGTTACTGAGTTAGTTGCAGCCGTGGATAAGCGGTACACACACACACACGTGCATGCATTTTACATGATTGTACAATTACATGTATGCGCTGTAGCGCACTGGTCGCATCGGATCAACATGACATGCACTGCACGCAGCGTTCTGCACGCGCTGAGGCCGCTTGACAATGGGCCGTAACCTTGGTAACGGTTTCTTGCCAAGCTTTTGTGTTTACATTTTTTGTGTTCTATTTTTTCATTGAGGTTGTCTTTGTTTTATCTTCATGGTTTCGCCATGTACCATGTTCACGCAACTGGATTTGTGAATAGGGCTTGAAAGTGATGACGTCAACAACGCCCAGGGAGTAGTAAGTTGACATCAGATTTCTATTTTGGATCCACAAAGGTGTGACTTTGCTATTGCTTAAGTATGTGGGTGCATAGCAACCCACTCATGTCGCATGCAGGTGCGACTTTTATTTCGCCACCAGTTGTCACCCCGCCCCCATTACTCATTAGCCAAATCAGTCAGTTTCACTGGCTACATCACCTTGCTGTGAGTATAGTAAGACCGCTTGAAATGTGCTTGGATCCATACAAAAACTGGATCCAAGTGGATCCAGTTTTTGAATTTTTGAAATTGTTGCTATGCTGTGACGTAGCACTTTCAAGCCCTTACATGTATATCCATTCTCCGGTAAACATGGTAAATCTACGTGGAGAGGTGTGTCAGAGATCGGTAGGCAGACATGTCGACAGTTACCTGGTTACTTGACAATGGTTTGTATGACTGTAGCTACATGTATTGTTGCCTATGTTTGTAGCCTGTTTGTAGGTGCACCCCGGTGATACTCACGTGATATCAAGACAAAGCTTTAGGTCAGTGTAGCCTTTGCCGGCATGCGCAGGAGATTCATGCACGATTTTTCGGCCTCTCCGGGGCCGCGGCGACATGTCGACAGTTAGTTGACAATGGTTTGTATGACTGTAGCTATTGTTGGTGCAGTGGTGCAACCCGGTGAGACTCATGTGATATCAAGACAAAGGTCAGTGTAGCCTTTGCAGGCATGCGCAGGAGATTCATGCACGATTTTTCGGCCTCTCCGGGTCCGCGGCCGTAGCCTAGCCATGGCATAGGCGTAGGCCCAAATGCACCTAACCCAACCCCGTCCCGCGACGGGCAAGTCGGAGTCACTTGGCACCGCTGCCAGCGCGAAGTGACAGACTAGTGCAGTGCTTCTTGCCCGAGTCGCGAGTGGGCATGACCTTGATGACACGAATCGGCAACGGTAATTTTGGTCAATTTGAACTGGAAAGCTTTCCGAGCCGGATCAGCTTTCTTTGGCTCTGGTTTTCGTTTTGTAGCCTATTTCGGCTGGGAGCAGGGAGTCGACTCCCTGGTTGGGGGCGCTAGAGTGAGGAGAAACACTTCCAACTTGCCGCTATTGCCTCTACAGACTCTATTGGGTATCGTTCGCATTCGAAAGAAAGAGACTATTGTGTTGAGTCTCTCACGATTCGCTTTCCTTCGACAAGAACCGTGCATTGGGCAGTACTAAGAGTTGCTCGCTGTCGTGTCAGTCAATTATTATTCGTGAATTTTCTCCGTTGACGAAGACCCTGACAAGAGGTGGACTAGGTTAGGCTCTTTACCAGCACCCGCTCGCACACGGGTGGTGCAGTCGTTGCTCTTCAAACCAGTTGTCCGGCGCTCGACGTCCGATTGTTACTGGTGCATACCGCGTATCGCTGGCTTCGTGACCCGGCTTAGAGCACTCAGTGCCAGGAACAGGTATTTCGTTCGCTATTCGCCGTTTCGTAACATCGGAACAAGTGTAGTTCACTGGTCGCAGGTCGCCAGCTAAGCATCCCATACGTTTGGTGGTCGTTTCAATCATCTTGATACCAAGTCAGTTGTTTGCCTTGCCACCAGAGTGAAACGGAACGCAGCATCGTTGGCTACTCATCCAGGTGAGACAACTCTTCGTCACGGCCCGGTCGTGGATCAGCCCTCTATCTCGATCCGGAACAAGTGCAAGGGGTGAGGAGAGGACGTGAGAGCGACACGCACGTTGAGTGGCGTCTGGTGACGACGGAAAGACATCACCCACACTCGCCACGCCACACCGCTCAGCAAGTGCAGACCGGTGAGTCTTCAGAAAACAAAATGATGTACCGTAAAGTACCGTTGATCCGCCCCCTCTCTAATTCCCGCCCCCTGTCGATTTTCTGCCTCTGAATACTTCGGCATATACAACGAAATACGATGTTGAACCGACGTATGCACTGCTGTACACAATCTGTGCCAACCCCAGGATGAAAATGTGCACAATCCAGCACATCGAGTCTCATCCTCTAAAGTTGTTGTTGTACATCGTACTGCACTTGACAGCATTGATCTAATTCTCGCCCCCTGCCGAAAATCCAGCTGGGAAGCGACGTGTGTGTGTGTGGGGGGGGGGGGAGGGGGGGGGGGGGGATCAATGGTGCTTTGCAGTAGTTGTCAATGGTTCTGCACTCCCAGTTCGGTATGCTTTTCTAGCTCTGTAACATAGCTGGAAACATAACTTTTTGTGCGTGACCATGACAATCATTATTGTGGTCCTTTGCGAGTCTGGCGACTAATGTGTTACTTGAAGGAGACGTGACCCAACGTGTTTGCTTCACTTGACATTAGGATACCTCGTTGTTGAGAATAGACCCAGCAATGGCAGTCGCTGGCTATGCCAGTATGAACTGTTCACTGGTGTGTTGTCCTAAAAGGATAAAGTGATTGATCACACAGTGTGTTTCTTGTGGTCGGGTGTAACGGTTTTAAACTAAGTTCTCTGTGAGTGTTGATGAAGTGTTACGTCACCTTGCCAACAGGTACAAGTTTACTATTATTGGTATGTACCCCCCCCCCCCTCCCCCCCCCCCCCCCCCCCAGCCCAGCCCTCCTAACACACTCAGTGGTGGTTGGTGGTGGGGCTGCACACTACATGTAGATGGAGACAAGTGACATGTCATATTAATTCACTGGGCACACTTCACAGTCCTCTTTACTGGCATTCAACAAAGCATGTTTGCAGGGATTTCCCCTTGTTCCATACAGTGTATGGCTGCTGGGATCATTCCGACTGCGAACTGTTCACTTCTTATTGCATGCAGTGATGCATTTATGCACGGGTTGTGTTTAGATCTTGAGTTACACAACGCCATGTTGGAACTGTCCCACGGGTTGAATATAAGGGGTGTTGCTTCAATAAAAAATTTGGGCCGTTCTCTTTTGCTCAATTTTACCACCATACAGGGTCTTTGTAACCTGCTGAAAGAGATCCTTGCTGGAAAGCTGCGATTAGCTGAAGTGGATTCATCGACTCATCGGCGATCTCTCCCAATAGCTGAGCTTGCCGTTCATCAAGGTAAGTTTCTGTAAAGTCCAAATTCTGAAGTTCTCGTGTGGTTTCTTGTTTGAGTGGATGATGAAAGGAATGTTCGGTCTAGGACCGTTTTGCGGTGAATCTGATCTATTCACCTCCCACCGCTTTAGGAGCTGCATCTACACCTTGATCTTTGAGAGTGATGGAGTTCCTATAGATGCTGAAAACTCGGTCTTTCGCGGAGTTTAACGCGAACCGTGAAATGTGTGCGTGTGCTTGTGTTTTCTGAGTTTAACGCGAACCGTTAAATGTGTGCGTGTGTTTTATTGTGTGTGTGTGTGTGTGTGTGTGTGTGTGTGTGTGCGTGTGTATGAGTGTGTGAGTGTGTGTGTGTGTGTGTGTGTGTGTGTGTGTGTATTTCTACCACAGATACTCAGTTACTTGTAGACAGCGTTCCCTGCCGGAAAACTGCGGTTAGCTGGTGTGGATTTCATCAAATCATCTCCAATCTACGCTGATATCACCGTTCACTAAGGTAGCTTATGTTTCTGTTCTTGCTGGGGTGCTCTGCCCCGAATACATCACAATTTACATGCAGGTACTTCATCCGTAAACAAAATAATACTTTGTGATGGGTTACGATCGGTACAGGTTAAGAACAATTTGTGTAGACTGGAAATCACTCGTCGAAGGTGATTCACCCAATGTACTTTACAGCGTCTATACAAGAGGAACTTTTGGTGGCGTGACCCGAGAGTTCATTTTGCGTCGCAATTGCACGACTCATCTTTTGCTTTCAAGATGCGTAATCCACGGTGGTGAATATAATAATGCCCGCCATGGTGTCGTTAAATATTTTGAGACTTTCTGGTGTTCACCTCCACTCTCTAGTATTCTGCGAAAGGAGGAGGAAAGGCACAGCCAAACACATTCCATTTTCCATGCTGGATACTCCTCCCAGTACTGAGCGCCAACCACTAGCAAGTGACGTCGACTTGCCTTAGCCACGAGAAGTCGCACTTCAGAATTCTAAAGAATGCATGGTCGTCAACTTTCAGATTTGCACTTTGCTGAGGTTGAACAAGAACTTGAATTCAGAATCCTTTCATTTTACCATGTGATTGGAACAACTGGGTGTCCACTTGTTCAAGGAATGGTCTCGCTGCTCCTTTTCATCGCTCTCTTTTACTCTCAAACTGAGAGCTAGAGAGGTCGAGCAGCGCATTATGTCCTTGGAGAAGTGGTATTCCTGTTCCGTTCATCATGGCTTTCATCAACGATGTTGCCAGAGAGCAACCATCGGTTCCCCTTGGTTTTCCTCTCGGTTTGTTGTGAATAATCGCTTTCCGTGCTTTGTATCTCTTTCCCGGCATGCACGTGAAGGCAGAGGAAGTGATCACGACTGTTTTTATGGCAGTTGATGTGCAAACCAGTGCATCAAAAACCCATCCCAAAGTTTTTGTTCACGGAGGAAGCATGCAGTGCTTGTACCTGCTACAAGTGAAACTTGGCGCGTTTTTTAGTTCAATCACTCAAACTATCTCACACTTTACGATCGAAAATTATGATTGGCTCACCAAAATACAACTTTGCATTGCTCAACAAGGACACTACTCGAAGATACATCATTTAGTCTAAATCACATACCTCTGCATCTGAGATCGCAGCTTCTTGAGGAGGGGAATTGTCACTGTCTTTGGACGAATGCGACTAAAGCGGATTCAGGTGCAGCAAGCGCCTCAGCTGTGATCGCTCTATAGCTCTCGATGTTGCTCCTGTGTGCAGTGCGAGAGCCACAATGTTGAGGGTAGTAATTTTGCCCGCCACTCTCCAGAATGCCGTAGTAAGAAACGTGGAAACACCTCCACATGGACTCCATCGTTTCGGCTGCGTCTTCTCGCCAACCAAGCGAGTACAAAATTGCCGCTAGCAATTCCTGGAGAATTTCCTTAGCAACCAGACACACATCGCTCTGGAGCCTATTGAAAATCACCAGGTCGTTGACAATTTCATCTGTACTCTGTGCGAGTGACGACGCAGAGAGAGCGAGAACAAGTTGAGTTTGCTTCTACACGCGAAAGCAGAACAGTTCTCCTTCGAAGTTTGAGGGGGCGCATCATCGTACTGCTACAGAAGAGACTCGCCTGCCTCAGCACACTATGTACCTCTGGAACGTGAAAATCGCCATGTGCCACTCGGCAGCTCAACGCTTGGCTTTCTGCACCCGGATACAACCATTCGAGGTCGTGCCTCGCACTAGAGTTGCAGTCTTGTGGTACAACCACAACAAATCGAATAGCACAAAAACACGCCAAGTTTCGCTTGTCGGAGGTAGTAAGTTAGGTGTATGCCTCAATGATGTTCTCCACCCTGGGAACTGTGAAATGTGATGCCGAGTTATTGAGTTGTTTTACCAAGCAGACAAATCATTGTGTGTGTGTGTGTGTGTGTGTGTGTGTGTGTGTGTGTGTGTGTGTGTGTGTGTGTGTGTGTGTGGTGGCGCGGGGGGGGGGGGGGGGGGGGGAGGGTGCAGGGTGAGTGTTTGTGGTGGTGGTGGTGGTGGGGGGTGGTGTGTGTGTGTGTGTGTGTTTGTGTGTGCGTGTGTGACACAATGATTCCCTCTCTCTAAGTGTACCTCCCGCCAATCTCCGGTTCCAAGTCTTTGCTCGTTTACTTGCATATAATTCCTAGTTCAATGATGCAACCTTGGTCAGCGGGGCATTCTAGGGCTTGGCCTGATTCTTAACTTGTTGGAAAGTGGCTTAAGTTTTCCACTGTTGCTATGACAATGGGTATTCATGAAACACCCAACCAACTCGCTACCACTGTGCCCTAGGAAGGTGAAACACGTGTCAATAGTACAGCTTGTAGATGAGTATCCGTTTACTCCTGCAGTGCAGTGTGCTAGTGTCATGGTACTCTAGTGCTGTGCCAAGCCACATTACTTCTCTCTGTTGCAATCATACCTGTGCACCAGATACCTTGTTCAGGCCGTGGCCAAATACAACGAACTTGTTCTTCTGTGACTGGAATAGGGGATAGCAAGGGGTGGGTGTGGAGATTGTGCAGCCTGTAGCTAAACAAGACTTATTTCTGCTGGCTTTCAGTGTGCCATGCTAGCCAGGGATAATTGATCACTGTCCATGGTCAATGTTTGCAGTATGTATTGTCCATGCAGTACTTGCCTGTACACACAGTTCCGGGGTGCAGTGGCAAAAGCCGACCTGCAAAGCGGCATGACGAAGTTGGTCTCATGTAGACAGCTTTTTAGCTTTCAGAGAAGACGTCGCTTGTTTCAAGTGGGGTACTGGTAATTGCTCTGTCGGGGGCGAGGAACCCGTGCCGCCAAAATTGTGGCCAAAGCCGCACCTTGGCCGAACCGACTATCTTGTGCCGTTTGAAGCATAGTAATTTGGGAATTTGGGTCCAATTTTCCGAAAAATATAAATGGCGGAGGGTCTTTCCCCCCCCTCCCTGCATGTTAATGGCTGCACCAGTGTGGAATACTCTCTGACCCCTGACCCCCCCCCCCCCATCCCTCCCTCTCCCCCTATCTCTCCCCCTGTTTAGTCCATGGATGCTTGAAGATAGCAGCTGTGATGAAATCTGAAGCGTTTGATTTTCTCGTCCTGCGTATAAACAACACTATGCACTCCGCAAAATGTGTTATGAAAACTACCAGTGATCTCCGTATACTCCATTATGGGAAGCCAAGGCACTGGTAAAATTAGGCAAAACATGCCCCCAACGATAGCTTACTTTGTGAAGATCTTGATGGCCAATTTGCTTTGATCTCTTGTGTTTTCAAACCTATTACTTTACAGAGAATCGGTGTCTTGTTGAAAGAGAACCTCGCACGATAGCTGCTGTTAGACAGTGTGGATTTCATCGCATCATCATCGATATCTGCCAGTATCTGTGCTCACGTTTCATCAAGGTATGTTTCTGTTCTTACCGGGATGCTCTCCAATGAATACATCACAACTTACATGTGTGTATGTGTTTCATGTTAGTATACTTCACACAGAGTAAACAATGGTCAAACAAGCTGCCACGTCTACCCATTGCAATTAAAGGGGAAGTATACCCTAAAATCTATTGTTCGCTAGTTGTAGTCTTCGGGGTGCTGAGTCGAATGGTGTTGGTCCGAGGAAGCTGAGATGATCTCTTTCTCCTTTATTCACAATCGAACTCGCGCATCTCCACCGAAACTGGGTGACTGCGCCCTACTAGATGGGGATTTGTATGCAAAATGTCACTAAAAGCGCCATTTCGCTATTTTAAAAGCACGGATGATCGCGATTGGCCCATATGTTGTAGTCTTTCGGACCCTGAGTCGACTGGTTTTGGTCCGAAAAGGCTACGACGCAGTGTTCAGGCCTTATTTCCAGTCAAACACGTGTGAGTAAGCGGTCACGGGCTCATGCGTACACCAGTCGCCTGGTCAGCGTGCCTGCAGGCTACAACTTTCACACGAAGGTTCAATACAAAAGCTCAAAGGTTCAACTCAAGTGACAGGAACGCTGTAAAAGTTGTGGCCTGCAGACACGGTGACCAGGTGAATGGTGTACGCATGACGGCTTATTTACTCGTGTTCGATTCAGAATAAGGGCGAACGCTGCATCGCAGCCTCTTCAGACAAAAAACAGTCGACTCAGCATCCAAAGGTCTACAGCATATGGACCAATCACGGTCATCCGTGCTTTTATAAGAGCGAAACGGTGCTTTATAGTGACATTTTGCTTACAAGTCCCCATCTAGTAGGGTGCAGTCAACCAGTATTGGTGGAAGTGCACGAGTTCGATTGGGAATAAAGAAGGAAGAGAGCGACTCAGGTTCCTCGGACCAAGGCCGTTCGACTCAGCACCCCGAAGATTAAAACTGGTGAAAGTTTGATTTTTGGGTATACTTCAACTTATCACATCTACCATCACGGTGGAAAGATTGTACTCTAAGATATAATCAATTTTAGGGATTGGGGAAGTGTGTGTTGCATCCTACATGGGAGCTCGCGGTTTTCTTGCCGACTTGAATTCTCACTTGACTGACTCTCGACTGCCATCCAGAGCACACGAGAAGTCCATCGAACCGTCCACTCGGCAAACCTGCAAGAAAGCACCACTACCAGCTCAATACACGGTGTTTCGGGGAATTCACCCCTCATCAGTTGAGCTTGAGTAGGCTGAGGAAGATTGTACCTGAAGAGCACCACTTATATACTGCTCTCCAGGCACAAGCATCACCAGGGATACAAACTTACAGAGACGCTCCGTTTCCAGCGCAGGAAAGCCGCGAGCTCCCATGTAGGGAGCAACACACAGTTCCCCAACTATCGCCGAAGTCGCACCACCCTCTTCTTCACATTTAGGGATTGGGTTGTGGTGTTTCAGAAAATTAACATGGCTTTTGTTTCTTATACAGCGATGATAGCATGGTCATCAATCTGTTGTTGTTGCCACTCTATTCATTCTGTTGTCTCCCTGTCCATTATGTTGTATCTTTGTTTGCTCTGTTGTGTCCCTGTCCATTCTGTTATCTTCCTGTTTATTCCGCATTCTTACAGAGAAGGGGCCAAGGCGAGAGGTAGCATTCGCAGGACAGCTGTCAGTTTTTGGAGTGTGGTCTTCACAAGCATCGAAGTTCACGATCGATATCGCATACTCCTATTCAACAAGGTATGTTGGATATGTCCCTAAGATTATATCGGGTTGACAGAATCATTGGGGAAATTTTCAATGGTGCTGGGGGGGGGGGGGGGGGGGTGTCTTTGTTGTGTCCCTGTCCTTTCTGTTGTCTAGCTGTCCTTTCTGTTGTCTAGCTGTCCTTTCTGTTGTCTAGCTGTCCTTTCTGTTGTCTCCCTATCCATTCTGTTGTCAACCTGTGTATTCTGTTGTCTCCCTGTCTATTCTGTCGTGTTTCAGAGAAGCGACCAAGGAGAGAGGTAGAATTCGCACGGAAGCTGTCCATTTTCAGACGGTGGTCTTCACAGGCCTCGTATTTCATGGTCGATACCACAGACTCCTATTTAACAAGGTATGTTTGAAATGGTTCTTAGATGTACTGGTTAAACATATTATTACAAGTTGAACCCCTCACAGCCCCAAACACGCGAACTTGGCAGGATCTAATTACTTTTTTTGATCGCTAGGGGCAACTATTTGATGTGTATGGTGCTTGTGCCAAGCCGCTTTATTAAGCTACTATGTGCCTGGCAAGGGAATGAAACCTGATCCCTGAAAAGATCATGGCTGCTGGAATTATTCTAAGTACGAAATGTGATCTTTTTATTGCTTCTTGCGATGAATTTGTGCACGTGTTTAACATCTCTAGTTACAAAATGCATTGTTTGAACTGTTCTGTGGCCTGTAAGGTGTCGCTTCCATTAACACCTACATGTATTTGTGCCTTTCTCTTGTGTTAATTTTACCAGCACACAGGAAATTGGTCACTCGTTGAAGGAGTTTCTTCCAGTAAACCTGGGGTTAGCAGGAGTGGATTCATCTAACCTTTGGTGATCTCTGCCGATATCTGTGCTCTCTATTCATTAAGGTATGTTTCTGTTCTTACCGGGGTGCTCTGTCTAGAAAACATCACAATTTACATGTAGGTACTTCCTCCGTAAACAAATATATACTTTGTGATGGATTACGATGGATATGAAAACAATTGGGACAGGTCAAGAACAATCTGCGTGGACTGGAAATCACTCGCCGGAGGTGGTTCAACCAATATACTTTTACACAGTGTCTATACAAGAGGAACTGTTGGTGGTGTGACCTGACAATTCATTTTGCGTCGCAATTGCACGACGCATATTTTGCTCTCAAGCTGCGTAATGCGTGGTGGCGAATATACTAAAGGCCACCAGGGAGTCGTGGAACATTTTATGATTTCCTGGTCTCTTCCAATCTCTAGTATTTTGTGATAGGAGTAGTAAAGGCACTAGCAAGTCACTTCGACTTTCCGTAGCCACGAGAAATCGGACTTCAGAATTCTAAAGAATGCATGGTCGTCAATGTTCAAATTTGGGCTTTTGCGCAGGTTGAACAAGTACTTGAATTCGGAATCCTTTCATTTCACAGTGCAATCGAAACAGCAGCGTGTTCACTCGTTCATTGAGTGGTCTCGCTGCTCCTTTTCATCGCTCTCTATCACTCTCAAGCTGAGAGCTAGAGAGGTCAAGAGGCGCATTATGTCACCGGAGAAGTGGTATTGCCGGCCCGTTTGTCACGGCTGTCATCAACTATGTTCCCATAGAGGGACCGTTGATTCCTCTCAGCTTGTTGTGAACAGTCGCTCTCTTTGCATCGTATCACTTTCATGTCGAGAACTGCCGTTCGCAAATATTTAATACGGATAGAAACTTTGTGTTCATGTCTTACTTGAATTCCTTGTGGTTTCTGTCTGAAACTCCATCGGCGTCTTGAAAAATAGATCTCTGTTTACGGATGGCCCCTCATACACCTTGAGAAAGCAAACATGATCTCTAGTTCCCCTACTGTGATGATAGCATGGTCATCAATCTGTCTTTGTTGCCGTCCTGTTCATTCTGTTGTCTCCCTGTCCATTCTGCTGTCTCCCTGTCTGCTCTGTTGTCTCCCTGTCCGTTCTGTTGTCTTACAGAGAAACCGTCAAGGCGAGACGTAGAATTCGCCCGGCAGCTGATAATTTTCAGAAGGTGGGTTTCACAGGCATCGTATCTCACGGTCGATATCACAGACGCCTATTCAACAAGGTATTTTGATATGTCCTTTAGATATACTGTCTTGAAATAATCAGACAAATTTTCAATGGTGCTAGACGCAAGCTATTATTGAAGTAGTGGGCCCAAAAATTGACTTTGACCAACAAGTTCACTTTACCATACTATTTCATTTAAGAGGTCGGGCACACCAGGAGTCGATGCAACTTCGTTTGACCAATCGGTTAAATTGGTATCAATTGCAGTGGGGTGGGAGGTAGAGGGGGCGGTACGTTTGTGGCTGAGCATGGTAGGAGTAATAAGTTAGTGTTATCGATGTTATCAGCACTTACTGTCCATGCAACTTATCCTCTGTGACTGGGATGGGAATAGGGGTGGGGGTGCAGGGGAGGAGTAGGGGAGGGGTTTAGGGGTGGGGTGGCGGCGTAGGGGCGGGGCGGGGGAGGAGTTGGGAGGGGTGTAGGGGTGGGGCGGGGGTGTAGGCGCGGGGGTGTGGGGGGGGGGGAGGAGGAAGAGAGGGGGTGCCATAAACTGTATCTTTGTTGTCTCCCTGCCCGTTCTGTTGTCTCGCTCTCCATTCTGTTGCCCCCTGTCCATTCTGTTGTCTCCTTGTCCATTCTATTGTCTTGCTCTCCATTCTGTTGTCTCGCTCTCCAATCTGTTGTCTCTCTGTCCATTCTGTTGCCTCCCTGTTCATTCTGTCATCTCGCTCTCTATTCTATTTTCTCCCTGTTCATTCTATTGTCTTACAGAGAAACGGCCAAGACAAAAGGTGGAATTCTCACGAAAGCTGTCAATGTTCAGAGCGTGGTCTTCATAGGCATCGTAGTTAACGGTCAGCATTACTGGTTCCTGTTCAACAAGGTATGTTGGATATGTCCCTCAGATATCCGGTCTGAAAACAATCATTGGGCAAATGTGTAATGGTGCATCATGCAAGGTAATATTGATGTAGTCATCTCAAAAATTGGCTTTGACCAACAAGTTCACTCAACCATACTATTATATTTGCGAGGTCGGGCACACCAGGAGTCGGTGTAACCTGATTTGACCGATCAGTTAAAATTGTATCAAATGCGGTAGGGTTGGAGTGTGGGGTTGGCAGAGTACTTACTGCACATGCTATTTGTCCTCTGTGGCTGGGATGGGGATAGGGGTGGGGTGGACGGGTTGGTAGGGGGGGGGGGGGGGGAGGGTTTGTTATAATCATCAATCTGTCTTTCTTGTGTCCCTGTCCTTTCCGTTGTCTGGCTCTCCATTCGGTTGTCTCCGTTTCCATTCTATTGTCTCCCTATCCCTTCAGTTATCTCCCTGTCTATTCTGTTGTCTCCCTGTCCATTCTGTTGTCTCCCTGTCCATTCTGTTGTTTTACAGAGAAGAGGCTCGAGGCGAGAGGTAGAATTCGCACGGAAGTTGTCAATTTTCGGAGCGTGGTCTTCATAGGCATCGTGTTTCACCGTCGATATCACGGATCCCTATTCAACAAGGTATGTTTGATATGTCCCTCAGATGTACTGTTTAAAAAAATGAGCCAAATTTTCAATTGTGTTTCACGCAACCTATTGTTGAACTGCCCCCAACCAAAAAAAAAACAAAAAAAACAACAAATGGCCTTAACCAACAACGTCCCTGTGGCATGATAATCCAGCTGCGAAGTCAGACACATCAGTGGTCGGAGCAACCTGAATTACCTATCGGTGAAGCTGGTATCAATTTTCCGGTATCTCACTTTTTCTCATCCTCCTTTCCTGGGATGTACATTTATAGCATTGACTGTCTGGTCTAATTCAAGATTGGCTTCTCTTTGGGGTTTACAGTTCCATTAGTAACATTTGGTCAACCAAACACACCAAGGTGCAAGCCAAAGCTGTCCATGTAGGGTACCTCTGTTGGAAAAATGGAGATATCAGGGTCTGCAGAGTTTGAAACACCTAGTCAAAGGGTATTGATTCCACTGGAACATTTCTATGACGGAGCTCTCCAGAGGATCTAAGAACTGAAGACGTGAGTCTCATGGGCAGTGCTATGACGCCATGTGACCGCAAAACACCGCTGCTGCATCCGTGCATGCAGCCAGGTCAACAGAACTTTATAACGGCAATAGTGCCTACGCATTTTGAGCTGATTTTCAAATCGATTCTTAGGCAGGATGAGCAACCCCCAGCGAGGATACATCCTATGTTAGACTGTGGATGGGTACATCCTATGTTTGAGTGTGGATGGGGTCATCCTATGTTAGAGTGTGGATGGATACATCCTATGTTAGAGTGTGGATGGATACATCCTATGTTTGAGTGTGGATGGGTACATCCTATGTTAGAGTGTGGATGGGTCCATCCTATGTTAGACTGTGGATGGATACATCCTATGTTAGAGTGTGGATGGGTACATCCTATGTTAGAGTGTGGATGTGTGCATCCTATGTTAGACTGTGGATGGGTACATCCTATGTTAGAGTGTGGATGGGTACATCCTATGTTGGAGTGTGGATGGGTACATCCTATGTTAGAGTGTGGATGGGTAAATCCTATGTTAGACTGTGAATGGAGCCATGCCTGACCAGTATGTGTTTTGTCTTGGCAAAAAATCTCGGTATTCTGCTGAAGAATTGGCCTCAGGGCAAAATATAGACTAAGAGTGAGCCCTGCGTCAAATGAAGAAGAAGCATCCATTCGAGATAGAGCTGATCTATGGGCGGCAAAGTCGGTAGCAAAGAGAAGGATGATGAGAATTCACTTAATATAAGTTTCCGTGCATGGCACGGTAAGTGAAGTTAGCAACCCACCAACAATTACATTCCTAACATAATTTGCACGTACTTGCCATAGCGCATCACGTGCCCGTGCAGAACACGCACTCCGAACTCCCGCGCCCCGGCACGGGACCACGCGGAGCATGCGCATTACTCCGGCTCTCGATGCTGTTTCTTCTTCATCCTTGCTGCGCCAACAGTCAGATCGCTTGACAACCTTGGCCAGTTTTTGAGCTTGGTCTTCGCTTTGCTGTGCTGACGGTCAAATTGTTTGACTATCGCGGCCAGTTTCTGATCAATATCCGATCAACCAGGTCTCTGTCAGTGAGCGATGTCCAGCCAAAACGCTCCGTTTGCTTTGCTGCGCTGACGCAGTGACGGTCAAATTGTTTGACAATTGCGGCCAGTTTCTGATCAATATCCGATCAACCATGTCTCTGTCAGTGAGCGATGTCCAGCCATAACGCTCTTTGCTTTGCTGCCTTGACGGTCAAATTGTTTGACAATCACGGCCAGTTTCTGATCAATATCCGATCAACCATGTCTCTGTCAGTGAGCGATGTCCAGCCAAAATGCGCTCTGCTGAGCTGCGAAACGCACTGGCATCCCGCAATTATTTAGACCCGACAGGAACAAAACCTACTCCGCGGACTCGCCTGCTCGAGTTGAAGTTGGCTCCAGACTACTGTACGCGAGGACTTGGCCGCTCCGGCAGCGGAGCAGAGGCAACTGCAGCCCCATCCCTGGCCTGGGAGACTTTAGTCGGGAGGAGGTTCGCGACGCTTGGAGCACGTATTGTGCGACTGACGCAGCAGCACACCCCTCCAGGGCCCCCGGAGCTGTTTTCGCACCAGCCCATAATCTTGAAGATGGCTCGGAAATTTAGGTCCCTGATGCTGAGCTCTTCTCTCTAAAGCTGACACGAAGTATGCCTGGCGGCTTTGGCCTGTTTCCCCTCATGTCTGGCCCCGGCTTGGCATTTTTGGGAAGGTTCGTACCATGTAGATAAGGCACCACCATTTGGCCTTAGATCCTCCCCCTTCCGTTCAACAGACCAGCTGATGTGGACTCTCAGCCCAACGGCGACTCTGCAATGATCCTGCTAAGTCTCTTACTCGTCTTCGAGTGCAGCGCTTCCGGACTCTCAGCCCATCTACCGACGCAGTGCTGACACACCCTGCACAGTCCACCCTCCAGCAGTTGACGACGCAACCATGGACCTCATCCGCCAGGGCCTGGCGGCCAGTTCCAGCATAACATGCGCTTCGCTGCCGCGCTCCGAACACTTGTCGCCCTGCGCCAGGGCAAGCCACACTCAGGGACTGATCAGTGCCGGCAGCATTGTTCCAGATCCTGTACTTTGAGTGCATTGCCCACTGTGCTAATGGCTAGCCGCATTGTACGGCACTCACATCAAATGCAGTGTAATAGTAATGCAGATAAATCCTGTTTGGGTCAGGTTGTCAGCGCTGCCGGACTCGCATCCCAACTGCCGAAGTGGTGCCGACACAACCAGCGCAGTCCACCCTCCAGCAGTTGACGACGCAACCATGGACCTCATCCGCCAGGGCCTGGCGGACAGCTCCAGCATGGCATGCGCTTCGCCGCAGCACTCCGAACGCTTGTCGCCCTGCGCCAGGGCAAGCCAACCTCAGGGACTGATCAGTGCCGGCAGCATTGTTCCAGATCCTGTACTTCGAGCACATCCCCCACTATGCTAATGGGCAGCCGCATTGGACGGCACTCACATAAATTGCAGTGTAATAGTAATGCAGATAAATCCTGTCTGGGTCCGGATGTCAGCGCGTCTGGACTTGCAGCCCAACTGCCGAAGCGGTGCCGGCACAACCAGCGCAATCCACCTTTCAGCAGTTGATGACGCAACCATGGACCTCATCCGCCAGGGCCTGGCGGGCAGCTCCAGCACAACATACGCTTCGCTGCAGCGCTCCGAACGCTTGTCACCCCGCACTAGGGCAAGCCATACCCAGTGACTGATCAGTGCCAGCAGCATTGTTCCATATCCGGTACGTTGAGCGCATTGCCCACTATGCTAATGGGCAGCCGCATTGGACGGCACTCACATCAATTGTAGTGTAATAGTAATGTAGATAAATCCTGTTTGGGTCAGGTTGTCGACGCTTCTGGACTCGCAGCCCAACTGCCGACGCAGTGCCGACACAACCAGCGCAGTCCACCCTTCAGCAGTTGACGACGCGGGCCGCAACTTTGGACGATCTGGCTGGCGTACAGCACTACCTGCAGTCCACCGTGCCTAGCCCGCACAACCGCGCCATGCTCTGGAGCGCCGTGACTCTGGCCTTCCACGGGCTGCTCAGAGTCAACGAGTACACCTTCGCGGCACGGGGCGCCGGCCTTGAGTACAGCGATGCGACCATGTACCCAGACCGCGTGGAGCTGCGCCTGCGTGTGACAAAGACGAGCCAATACGGCGGCGGCCAGGACATTAGCGTCAGGAGGACAGGCTCGCCGACATGCCCGCACACGGCAGCCACCAGCTACCTAGCAGCCCGTGGCTCGGCACCTGGCCCGCTCTATTGCTATGATGACGGCACGCCCCTGAAGCCGTATAACATCAACAGGCTACTACAAACAGCCTTGCCTAACAAAGACGTGCGCAGCCACAGCCTCAGACGAGGCGCTGCAACGCTGGCAGGCAAAGCTGGCGTGCCTGAGTACGTGCTGAAGACCGCCGGCAGGTGGCAAAGCTCTGCCTACCTCCGCTATGTCCGCACCCCTGTCGCAGACAGAGCATTGCCAGCGGCATTGTTCTAGTCCCTGCCCGTTATGCTAATGGGTAGCCGCATTGGACGGCCCTAGCAACAGCTGTAGTGTACATATGATATACCTATTATACTATAACTATAGTAACGCAACTATAACTATAGTAATGCCGATAATTACTGTTTGGGTCATGTTGTATTTTGGGAGAACGGTAGGGATCGTGGGTCAGGCCGGCATTGAGCCAAGTGCGCCTACATGTGCTCACAAGTGCATCCCTACCGTATGCGTGTATTGACACGCCGGGCAATTGTTGCCCCCATTAGCCCTGGCATTGGCCAGTCTAACGCACATTGGTGCTTGCGATACTACGGCATTGGTCCATAGTATTGCATACTGCATGCGGCAATTGTTGCCTGCGATACTACGGCATTGGTCCATAGTATTGCATACTGCATGCGGCAATTGTTGCCTATGCCCTGATAATACAACGCGTAATAGCTCCCAAACAGGTCGGCTTGTGTGGTTGTTAAATATAAGTTTCCGTGCATGGCACGGTAAGTGAAGTTAGCAACCCACCAACAATTACATTCCTAACATAATTTGCACGTACTTGCCATAGCGCATCACGTGCCCGTGCAGAACACGCACTCCGAACTCCCGCGCCCCGGCACGGGACCACGCGGAGCATGCGCATTACTCCGGCTCTCGATGCTGTTTCTTCTTCATCCTTGCTGCGCCAACAGTCAGATCGCTTGACAACCTTGGCCAGTTTTTGAGCACCACCACCCACCCCATCATCTCTAACCATCATTCTATTCTAAGCCATCCCGGAAGGGAGGACGGTAGGGATCGTGGGTCAGGCCGGCATTGAGCCAAGTGCGCCTACATGTGGTCACAAGTGCATCCCTACCGTATGCGTGTATTTACACGCCGGGCAATTGTTGCCCCCATTAGCCCTGGCATTGGCCAGTCCAACGCACATTGGTGCTTGCGATACTACGGCATTGGTCCATAGTATTGCATACTGCATGCGGCAATTGTTGCCTGCGATACTACGGCATTGGTCCAAAGTATTGCATACTGCATGCGGCAATTGTTGCCTATGCCCTGATAATACAACGCGTAATAGCTCCCAAACAGGTCGGCTTGTGTGGTTGTTAAATGTAGTTATAAGCCCACTCAAATTCGGCTGCCACCTAGCCAGCGTTGGCGTGAAAATAGGGCACTTTGGGTTCTCCTTAATTCGCAAACAAGTCCCTGCTCTTCGAACCACGACCACGGCCACTCGATTACATGCTCATGCATGCCTTTGTTGAAAACGAGGGTTCCAGTTCAAAGTTCGGACAATGCATGACTCTTGGAAAGCTTCTGGCCTACTAGCCTGCTGCAGGTATACTTCAATACCATGAGGAATTCAAGTCTCTCATTTTGAAAACTGCAACAAGTGACCCAGCACATTCGATGGCAAACTGTCCAATGGAATGGCAACCTGTCAAATGGGATGGCAAACTGTCAATAGCATGGCAACCTGTCAAATGGGATAGAAAACTGTCAAATTGGATGGCAAACTGTCAGTCATGCAGGGCCAAAACCTGTCACTTTGAGCCACAACCTGTCCCTTTTTAGCCAAAACCGAGTCATTATTTGCCAAAACTGGTCACTTTTGAGCAACAACCTGTAACTTTGAGCCACTCCCTGTGACTTTGAGCCAAAACCTGTCATGGCTTTACGCCACAACCTGTTACTTTGAACGAAATTGGAAGTAAGGTCTGTCCATTTGAACATAAATCCGTCCCCTTGAACCTAAACCCTTCACTATAAACTCAATTCAAGTATCTGACCAGAAATTCCACTAGAAATGTTCGCGAATGATCAATTTGTGTTTTTTCAAGCCTTATCGCTATTTTCTTTCATGTACCATTTGTTTGGCATTTTCCATCTCCCAGCTTTTGCTACTTTCACGGTTCGTTTCCAATGTTAACTTGTTTGCTGTCTATGTGTTGCTTGCTCTGTGTTGTTCACTAACATATACAGATTACTGTACTAAGCACGGCTGGCTCTCTGCAAACTGATCATTTTTGCACGTCCAGTTCCAAGCTCTGTGTTGGCTACAACGTGTGCCGATGAGCATGTCAGCTCAGTTGTACATGAACAACGTGTGGGTTGTGTAAAGTGTGCAGATCACCAGATCACGGCTATATCTCTACAGTTACAGTGTTATTATTGACATCCTCACTCTCTTTCATTGGTGTCTGTCAATCACTCACCAATATACTTTCTCACTGCAATAACCAACGGTGAACGTTAGAGCTGGTGTGACAGGTCGTTGGACAGCCTTGAAACACCTTGTTGAACTTGTGAAGTAAAACAAGGATCCTGCCACGTTGTCATCACCTACACAGAGCTGTGATCGGCCGTTCTTTGAGCAACCTTCCCAAAGGATTAACAGGTTCGTCACGATTGTTGTATGCAATTGTCAATCTCAGTGAAAGTTGACATGCATTGAACAAGTATGACATTGCCTTAGCAATCTTGTCTTGATAATCAGTGGCGTAAATCTCTGCTGTTGGGACAATGAGCACTTCTAGCTGCAGGTACTAAATAGCTAGAGAATTGTAAAGTTTTATCATTGCTACAGATCGACTGTTGTAATGTCCGATTCTTTGCTAATTTGTTCTTCATTTGTGTGTGTGTGTGTATGTTTGTGTGTGTGTGTGTGTGTGTGTGTGTGTGTGTGTGTGTGTGTGTACGTATGTATGTGTGTATGTATGTGTGTATGTATACGTGTGCGTGTGCGTGTGTGTGTGTGTGTGTGCGTGTGCGTGTGTGTGTTTATTCTGTATGCTCTGTAGCCTGGCCAGAGTTCCACTACAAAAATCAGCAAAACAGCTCCCACATTGACTGGCAGTACTGGAACCGAACAGGTGGTAGCAAAACTGGAGTGTTTCCATCAACAGCACAGCACTATAAACTATTTGGCATTTGTTTTCAGGGCTATGGTCATCTGCTATCCAACATTGAAGTAACTGTTTGATATCAACAACAACGTTCACTGGAACAGGAATTGTCATCTACAGATACCACCACGACTTGAATTGTCATCTACCAATACTACCACTGCCTGGAATTGTCAGCTACCACTGCTGCAATTGACCGTATCTGTTATCTACCACTGATACAATTAACTCCAGCTGTCATCTACCACTGCTGGAATTAACTGCAGCTGTCATCTACCACTGATACAATTAACTGCAGCTGTCATCTACCACTGCTGGAATTAACTGCAGCTGTCATCTACCACTGATACAATTACCTGCAGCTGTCATCTACAACTGCTGGAATTAACTGCAGCTGTCACCTACCACTGGTACAATTAACTGCGGCTGTCATCTACCACTGATACACATGACTACAGCTGTCATCTACCACTGGTACAATTAACTGCAGCTGTCATCTACCACTGATACAATTAACTGCAGCTGTCATCTACCACTGACACAATTAACTGCAGCTGTCATCTACCACTGATACAATTAACTGCAGCCGTCATCTACCACTGGTGGAATTAACTGCAGCTGTCATCTACCACTGCTGGAATTAACTGCAGCTGTCATCTACCACTGATACAATTAACTGCAGCTGTCATCTACCACTGCTACAATTAACTGCAGCTGTCATCTACCACTGGTACAATTAACTGCAGCTGTCATCTACCACTGATACAATTAACTGCAGCCGTCATCTACCACTGGTGGAACTAACTGCAGCTGTCATCTACCACTGACACACTTAACTGCAGCTGTCATCTACCACTGCTGGAATTAACTGCAGCTGTCATCTACCACTGACACACTTAACTGCAGCTGTCATCTACCACTGCTGGAAGTAACTGCAGGTGTCATCTGCCACTGACACAATTAACTGCAGCTGTCATCTACCACTGCTGGAATTAACTGCAGCTGTCATCTACCACTGATACAATTAACTGCAGCTGGCATCTACCACTGACACAATTAACTGCAGCTGTTATCTACCACTGCTGGAATTAACTGCAGCTGTCATCTACCACTGCTGGAATTAACTGCAGCTGTCATCAACCACTGCAGGAATTAACTGCAGCTGTCATCTACCACTGATACCATTAACTTCAGTTGTAATCTACCACTGCTGGAATTAACTGCAGCTGTCATCTACCACTGATACAATTATCTGCAGCTGTCATCTAACACTGATACAATTAACTGCAGCTGTCATCTACCACTGATACAATTAACTGCAGCTGTCATCTAACACTGACACAATTAACTGCAGCTGTCATCTTCCACTGCTGGAATTAACTGCAGCTGTCATCTACCACTGATACAATTAACTGCAGCTGGCATCTACCACTGACACAATTAACTGCAGCTGTCACAAACCACTGCAGGAATTAACTGCAGCTGTCATCTACCACTGCAGGAATTAACTGCAGCTGTCATCTACCACTGATACAATTAACTTCAGCTGTCATCTACCACTGCTGGAATTAACTGCAGCTGGCATCTACCACTGATACAATGAACTGCAGCTGTCATCTACCACTGATACAATTAACTGCAGCTGTCATCTACCACTGATAGTTGCAGCTGTCATCTACGACTGATACAATTAACTGCAGCTGTCATCTACCACTGACACAATTAACTGCAGCTGTCATCTACCACTGCTGGAATTAACTGCAGCTGTCATCTACCACTGCTGGAATTAACTGCAGCTGTCATCTACCAATGCTACACTTAACTGCAGCTGTCATCTACAAATTCTACAATTGACTGGAATTGTAACCACTATTACCATTGACTGGCACTGGTATTTACTACTGCTATCACTGGAATTTCTACGACTCATCAGGAAAGCAGTCAAAGCCTGCATTGTGTGAGGGTTGCTGGCTTGCCTTGTTGTCTCTTGGCATTTGCACCTGTGTTCTCTACATCAAAGGAAACACGTGGACTCAAGGAGTTTCTGTCCAAAAGAAAGGTCAGTTCACCATGGTTTTACACAGTGGTCTACTGTTGTCTCAATAGATTTTTCCCAGAGTGGAGTCCTTGTCTAACGAGTAATTGGATTCCAGGTTTACCTGCGGGCACTATACGTACACCATGTTTAGGGGTTTCCCCTACATAGAGTAAATCAAGGTGTGGAGCGGTTCACTCTACAAAATCATGGAGGATGGCCGCTTCCAAGTCCACACGGCATAATTCCCAAACCAAGTTGGACATTGTTTTGAGCTATGTGCATTCTTTTTAAGGAAGCTCTGCCGGTTGCAGTACTGAGCAGTGTTTGGATGGAGGAGTAATTCTACTGTTTAGCTACCTTCCACAGAGATTCCTGTCCTAGAGCTTTGCTGTGATTGGTCGTTGCCCCATCTGTCTATATTCAGCCAGAATGTTTTGTCGTTGTTTGTCTTTGGTTCATTTTTGTCTTGTTATTGTTGCAGGAAACCGCCAACACAAACTTCAGAGAGTCACTGGTCAGCAGCTTACCGCAAAAGAGCCTCCCTCAGCGGAGCAATAATTGTTATACTCTGGCATTCCACTTTGTCAATAGATCTGAAATCTGAAGTTGATTTGTAGTCGTAACACAATCCAGCACACCCAGCCAGCAACACAAAGCCGGAACCGGATATCCAGGGTCATATACACCCTGTCCTGTGCTGCTAACACTCTACACCGTAATACAGTACTCATGGTGTTCATCTGGTTGTCATAGTAACCTGGATTTCAACACCATTTCTACAGGATTTACTAGAGGATGTATTAAGTCGCCAGGTGAGTGTTACAGGTTTCTGTCTGAAAATGAGAGTTGCCATGCAAAGGGATAGGTTGCTTTCGAAAGTGACAGCTTGCTAACTGAAATGACAGCTTGCTGTCCACAATGGCAGGTTACTGTCCACCGGCAATAGCAGACCTTCGTCAAAATTGGCTGGTAGATGTCCCAATTAGCAGGCCACTGTCTAAAGTGACAGGTACTATATTACAGGATGTAGAAATGTTTTTCTATCAACACTCTTAGAGATAGGGCACACCAGCCCTGTCACCACAAACAAGACCGTACTGGAACAGAATCCCTTTCTATCCCCCAGTATCCCTCCGCATCCCTCAGTATCCCTCTGAATCCCTCTGTATCCCTCTGTATCCCTCTGTATCCCTCTGTATCCCTCTGCATCCCTCTGTATCCCTCTGCATCCCTCTGTATCCCTCTGTATCCCTCTGCATCCCTCTGCATCCCTCTGTATCCCTCTGTATCCCTCTGTATCCCTCTGTATCCCTCCGCATCCCTCTGTATCCCTCTGCATCCCTCTGTATCCCTCTGTATCCCTCCGCATCCCTCTGTATCCCTCTGTATCCCTCTGCATCCCTCTGTATCCCTCTGCATCCCTCTGTATCCCTCTGTATCCCTCTGCATCCCTCTGTATCCCTCTGTATCCCTCTGTATCCCTCTGTATCCCTCTGTATCCCTCCGCATCCCTCTGTATCCCTCTGCATCCCTCTGTATCCCTCTGCATCCCTCTGTATCCCTCTGTATCCCTCCGCATCCCTCTGTATCCCTCTGTATCCCTCTGCATCCCTCTGTATCCCTCTGTATCCCTCTGTATCCCTCTGTATCCCTCTGTATCCCTCCGCATCCCTCTGTATCCCTCTGTATCCCTCCGCATCCCTCTGTATCCCTCTGTATCCCTCTGTATCCCTCTGTATCCCTCCGCATCCCTCTGTATCCCTCTGTATCCCTCCGCATCCCTCTGTATCCCTCTGCATCCCTCTGTATCCCTCTGTATCCCTCTGCATCCCTCTGTATCCCTCTGTATCCCTCTGTATCCCTCTGTATCCCTCTGTATCCCTCTGTATCCCTCTGCATCCCTCTGTATCCCTCCGCATCCCTCTGTATCCCTCTGTATCCCTCTGTATCCCTCTGAATCCCTCCCACACCCTGTTTCACTTACAATTCTACTGCAAGCCACACTGATCTCACCTCAAGGCGTTCTCTCACCTTTCCACTAGTACTCGCCATGACGCTCCATCCTTATCATACATATGTACATGTAATCCCACGTCTTGACGTCCACACCCTAGTTAGCTCACCACCAGCAACCATATTCTAGATAGCACCCAACACACATTTTAACTTGAATTCATTCAGTGGAATATAGCACTAGAGGAGGTGGTTGCTGCCCCACTTTGGAGCTCCCCCCGCAAGCAGAGGACACGGCGGGGATTCCATTGAACCTACTACCTACCTACATGTACATGTATGTACTGGTGTGGGGGTTGAGTTCCCTTTTGGGAACGGACACGATAATTTACTTACTTTTTACTGGTGTGGGCATTGAAATCCGGTGAGACGTCAAGCGACCACGGGGTGCTGGCCATGCAGCTGTCAGTACTGCTGGTACAGTTCTGCAATGTTACAGTGCATGTACACGCTAAGCTAGTAAGGTCACCAGCCCTGGCTATTCCACCGGGTTTCTATATATATATAGCAGTCACTACTACCACTACCCTCAAACCTAATTCCTACCAATATGTCATATACGTATCCTAATGCTATTTAAACATTGATCGTTCCAGCCAGGAACATTCATTTGCTCTACTAGCATTTGACCACGTTCAAAACAGTATCCTATTCATCCAGTTTGGCTGCAAACCTCTCTATTCTTGTTGATGTTTTCCCAGATCTCAATCTCCACCCCTGTATCGGATTGGATTGATATTACAGTGGTGACGATCACAGACATCCGCCTAATAACAATAGACCCACTCGGGTATCAAGTCATCATATCAACCTATCAGCCATCAAAGATTTATCGCAGTTCATCTCAACTACAGCACGTTCAACAAAGTACCTACGTCAGTACGCTCTCAATTCCTATCAAGTACACCGCCTCTGCTTCAAAGTTGTCTACTTGTGTTCGGTCTTCACCTGGCTAAGTCAACACCACAACTACAAGTACAACTTGAGAGTTTTCTGCAGAGACTAGGGGAAACTTGCCAGAACAACACTATTGTCTTTTGCTCAAGTCACCAAGGCTAGCTGTGTGGTAGCTTCACCCTTTACATATCCAAGGTTAGTTCATCCCGCTATATGGACAAGTAACTGCTTGCAAGAGTGAAGTAGCAGTGCTGCCTATGTTTACATACTCCTGACTGACACACTGCACTACTGCATTATTGTGCAATAAGGTTGTGGGTGATGATAGGAGTCGTACGTCTTGTAGAAAACGTCATGAACTTGGAGTTTGGCTTTCTTGTTGTTGTGTACCCATCCTGTTGGTCTGTCTGTAGCAGAAATTAGTGAAACATTTCTACTGACTGTAACTATCTGCCTGTGTATTATACTCAGTCTGTGAGCATTCACAAGGAAAAGAGGGGAAAATAAGAAGAAGATAATGTTTATCACAAGAATTTGAGCAAGGGACCCTCGCTTATGACGAGTGATGCTTTACCACTGATTTATGGTAAAGTCTGCGAACACTTCACTGGTTTCACAATGCTGTTGTAATCTCTGATATTCTACTGTGTGCATTCTTGCCTAGGACACTCAACACAGCCAGAACAAGATCTGGTGACGTCATCAAACCATTCTCTCCGCTACTCCACTCACAGATCAATACTGTGGAACAGGTCACTCGCTGAACGTGCAAATTCCTCAGCTGACCGTGGTGTATCCTCGGCCATAGACACGGTGAGTTTTTCTCTATTCCCATTCCTGACATCTAGCACAGTGATGAAGTACATAGTGCTGTGAAATTGCTAGGAAGTACATCCCATGAACCAGCCATGCAGGATAACGAATAGCAAATATATATCCGGCCACACCACATCTATTTACTATGTGTATGACCACACTTATCAAGTTATTGGTCTTGCCCCCCCCCCCCCCATCCCCTATCCAAACAAGACCAGTCTGATCACTACTCCCCCCCCCCCCCCACCCCTATCCACACAAGACCAGTCTGATCACTACTCCCCCCCCCCCCCCTGCTATCCACACAAGACAAGTCTGATCACTACTCCCCCCGCCCCCCCCCCCCCCCCCTCATCACCTATCCACACAAGACCAGTCTGATCACTACTCCCCCCACACCCCATCCCCTATCCACACAAGACAAGTCTGATCACTACTCCCCTCCCCCCCCCCCCCCCATCCCCAATCCACACAAGACAAGTCTGATCAATACTCCCCCCCCCCCCCCCCCCACCCCCATCCCCTATCCACACAAGACCAGTCTGATCACTACTCCCCCCCCCCATCCCCTATCCACGCTAGACAAGTCTGATCCCCTCCCCCCCCCCCCCCATCCCCTATCCACACAAGACAAATCTGATCACCACACCCCCCCCCCCCCTTATCACCTATCCACGCAAGGCCAGTCTGATCACTACTCCCCCCCCCCCACACCCCATCCCCTATCCACACAAGACCAGTCTGATCACTACTCCCCTTCCCCCCCCCCCCCCCCCCTGCTATCCACACAAGACAAGTCTGATCCTTACCTCCCCCCCCCCCCCCCATCCCTTATCCACACAAGACCAGTCTTACCACTACTCCCCCCCCCCCCCCACCCTTCCCCTATCCACCAAGACAAGTCTGATCACTACTCCCCTTCCCCCCCCCCTGCTATCCACACAAGACAAGTCTGATCCTTACCTCCCCCCCCCCCCCCCATCCCTTATCCACACAAGACCAGTCTTACCACTACTCCCCCCCCCCCACCCTTCCCCTATCCACCAAGACAAGTCTGATCACTACTCCCCCCCCCCCCCCATCACCTATCCACACTAGACAAGTCTGATCACTACTCCACCCCCCCCCCCCCCCCTATCACCTATCCACACAAGACCAGCCTGATCACTACTCCCCCCCCCCCCATCCACACTGCTATCCACACAAGACCGGTTTGATCACTACTCCCCCCCCCCCCCCATCCCCTATCCACGCTAGACAAGTCTGATCACTACTCCCCCCCCCCCCCCATCCCCTATCCACACTAGACAAGTCTGATCACTACTCCCCCCCCCCCATCCCCTATCCACACAAGACAAGTCTGATCACCACTCCCCCCACCCCCCCCCCCATCCCCTATCCACACAAGACAAGTCTGATCACCACTCCCCCCACCCCCCCCCCCCCCCCATCCCCTATCCACACTAGACAAGTCTGATCACTACTCCCCCCCCCCCCCCATCACCTATCCACACAAGACAAGTCTGATCACCACTCCCCCCCCCCCCATCCCCTATCCACACAAGACAAGTCTGATCACTACTCCATCCCCCCCCCCCCCTAACCTATCCACACAAGACCAGTCTGATCACTACTCCCCTTCCCCCCCCCCCCCCTGCTATCCACGCAAGGCCAGTCTGATCACTACTCCCCCCACACCCCATCCCCTATCCACGCTAGACAAGTCTGATCACTACCCCCCTCCCCCCCCCCCCCCATCCCCTATCCACACAAGACAAATCTGATCACCACTCCCCCCACCCCCCCCTTATCACCTATCCACGCAAGGCCAGTCTGATCACTACTCCCCCCCCCCCCCACACCCAATCCCCTATCCTCACTAGACAAGTCTGATCACTACTCCCTCCCCCCCCCCCCCCTAACCTATCCACACAAGACCAGTCTTACCACTACTCCCCCCCCCCCCATCCCCTATCCACGCTAGACAAGTCTGATCACTACTCCCCCCCCCCCCCATCCCCTATCCACACTAGACAAGTCTGATCATTACTCCACCCCCCCCCCTAACCTATCCACACAAGACCAGTCTGATCACTACTCCCCTTCCCCCCCCCCCCCCCTGCTATCCACACAAGACCAGTCTGATCACTACTTCCCCCCCCCCCCATCCCTTATCCACACTAGACAAGTCTGATCATTACTCCACCCCCCCCCCCCCCCCCTAACCTATCCACACAAGACCAGTCTGATCACTACTCCCCTTCCCCCCCCCCCCCCTGCTATCCACACAAGACCAGTCTGATCACTACTCCCCCCCCCATCCCCTATCCACACTAGACAAGTCTGATCACTACTCCCCCCCCCCCCCCCCCATCCCCTATCCACACTAGACAAGTCTGATCATTACTCCACCCCCCCCCCCCCCTAACCTATCCACACAAGACCAGTCTGATCACTACTCCCCTTCCCCCCCCCCCCCCTGCTATCCACACAAGACCAGTCTGATCACTACTCCCCCCCCCCCCCCCATCCCCTATCCACACTAGACAAGTCTGATCATTACTCCACCCCTACCCCCCCCCCCCCCTAACCTATCCACACAAGACCAGTCTGATCACTACTCCCCTTCCCCCCCCCCCCCCCTGCTATCCACACAAGACCAGTCTGATCACTACTTCCCCCCCCCCCCCCATCCCTTATCCACACAAGACCAGTCTTACCACTACTCCCCCCCCCCCCCCCCATCCCTTATCCACACAAGACCAGTCTGATCACCACTCCCCCCCCCCCCCCCCATCACCTATCCACACTAGACAAGTCTGATCACTACTCCATCCCCCCCCCCCCCCCCATCACCTATCCACACAAGACCAGCCTGATCACTACTCCCCCCCCCCCCCCCCCCATCCACACTGGTATCCACACAAGACCAGTTTGATCACTACTCCCCCCCCCCCCTCCCCTCCCCTATCCACACAAGACAAGTCTGATCACCACTCCCCCCCCCCATCACCTATTCACACAAGGCCAGTCTGATCACTACTCCCCTTCCCCCCCCCATCCCCTATCCACACAAGACAAGTCAGATCACTACCCCCCCCCCCCCCCCCCTGCTATCCACGCAAGACCAGTCTGATCACTACTCCCCTTCCCCCCCCCCCCCCATCCCCTATCCACACAAGACAAGTCAGATCACTACCCCCCCCCCCCCCCCTGCTATCCACACAAGACCAGTCTGATCACTACTCCCCTTCCCCCCCCATCCCCTATCCACACAAGACAAGTCAGATCACTACTCCCCCCCCCCCTGCTATCCACACAAGACCAGTCTGATTACTACTCCCCCCCCCCCCATCCCCTATCCACACAAGACAAGTCTTACCACTACTCCCCCCCCCCCCCCCGTCCCCTATCCACACAAGACAAGTGATCACTACCCCCCCCCCCCCCCCACCCATCCCCTATCCACACAAGACAAGTCTGATCACTACTCCCCCCCCCCCATCCCCTATCCACACAAGACAAGTGATCACTACCCCCCCCCCCCCACCCATCCCCTATCCACGCTAGACAAGTCTGACCACTACCCCCCTCCCCCCATCCCCTATCCACACAAGACAGGTATGATCACTACTCCCCCCCCCCTCCCCCCATCCCCTATCCACACAAGACAAGTCTGATCACATCCCCCCCCCCCCCCCATCCCCTTTCCACACAAGACAAGTCTGATCACTACTGCCCCCCCCCCCCCTTCTCTCTTCATACTAGAGAAAACTAATCACTATTCCACCCTTCTCACCACCCCCTCCCATACCCCTTTCCAGACAAGACACTTCCCATCACAATGACCCCTCCTCCCCTACCCCTCTTCACACAATTCCCAACACTGCGCGCCCCTCTCCCCTCTCACCAGCATTGTGATTCACTCATACTGCTTTGGTCATCTTCATGGGATGTAGTTCTGCAAATCCTGCAATTTTAGTTAACATAGCATTTTGTCTGTCGGACCCTTGTGTTGCTACTGTCATTGGTGCATCACAACTTTACCCACTAACGGTGCATTCAGATGGGCCGATTTGGCGGTGCTGCGCAATAAACGGTGGGAAAAGACGAGAGGCATTCAGGTGCTCTCTCCGTTCGCACCAGCGATTTGTGGACATTGGGTTGTCGAATTAAAGGTTTCGAACTTTCAACACATTCGTTCGGTTTCGTGGTTGTGAGTTGGAGAGAGACGAATTAATCAAAGGGGATGTATGGTCTAGAATCAACATTTCACTACTCGTATTCTTCAGGGTGCTAAGTCGAATGGTCTTGGTCCGAGGAAGCTGAGACACTCATTTTGTCCCAGATTGCTCAACCGAAACAGTGTTACTGAACCATACTAGATGAGGATTTATACGCAAAACGTCACTAAAAGCACCATTTCGTTCTAATCAAAGGACGGATGAACGAGATTTGCCCGTATGTTGTAGTTTTTTGCATGCTGAATGGACTGATTTTGGTCCTTGAAGGCTGCGATGCAGCGCATTCACCCCTTATTCCCAATCGAACACGGTTGAGTAAGCGGTCACATTCTGATGCGAACACCAGTCACCTGGTTACTGTGCATGCAGGCTAAAACTTGCAAACAAAAGCTCAACTAGAGTGACAGGAACACGCACTAGTAGGCTGTTACTTGTAGCCTGCAGGAACAGTGACCAAGTGATTGCTGTACGCATCAGCACGTGACCGCTTACTCAACCCTGTTTGATCAGGAATAAGGGCCGAACGCTGCACTGCAGCCTCCTCACACCACAACCACTCGACTCAGCGTCCAAAACACAACAACAGATAAGTCAATCTCATTCATCCGTGATTTTAAAAGAACAATTTGGCACTTTTAGTGACGTTTTGTATAGAAATCTCCATCTAGAGTTCAGTCGCCCAGTTTCAGTGGAAGTGGCGAGTTCGATTGGGCAATCTGGGATGAAGGAAGCGTCTCAGCTTCCTCGTACCAAGACCATTTGACTCAGCGCCCTGAAGACTACGAGTAGTAAAATTTTGATTCCAGACAATGCAAACCCTATCAAACTATAGTTTTTTTGCAGCATTCTGAGGTTGCGGAATCCTGCTGAACCGTGCAAAACTTTTGAAATATTTTCAACAGGCAGTGTGCTCGGAAAACCCTCCTCCCCTGTTCATTCTGTTCCCCGACGGCTCCCAATTTTTTTTGCGTTGCCGGTGCAGGATCAGAAGACTACACGGACACTTCTTGGTAGCTGCGCATAGCCGGCACACTACATATCTGACGAGAACAAGAAGCAAGGCAGTACAGATGCCAGAGCCAACACAACAAACTTTGCATGTAACACAATACACCAACTTTTGTCTTCGAGCAAGTATTAGCAGTTGGCCGTTCACACTCGGGAAACCTTTTCTTGCGGGAATGGCTGCGTATGGGAAAGATTTAGGGATCGAGATCAAAGGAAATGTCACATGAGCCATGAAATCAAGGAAAATTGTCCGAGAATGCAACTTTTCACGCCTGTCTGAATGCACCCAAAAGAAAAATTATATTCCCATAATCAACACTGAACGTCATTTTGGCAAGAAATACATAATTTGAGTTGGCCTCCAGAATAGGCCACTTCATCACAGAATCGGTATTCAGAGATCCTCAGACGATTGCTTCAGTGCTCCTGATTCCTGATGATATACATTTTATTCTTGTACAACATATCTTCTTTCCATGGTTGGTGTAGCCCTAGTCTTTATGAATGCTTATACTATACTAAGGAGGTATTGCCATTCTAAATCTATCCTTTCTCCTTTTCTCTTTGTTCTTTCCAAATTGTCCACAGATTCTGAACTAAAGTGTCAGTGCCATTGCCGCGTCATCTCCATCTTTGACCTCATCTACCTGCAACACACCAACTAGTAAAGGTCTGGTTAGTCAATCAACTTCGCCTAGTACAGCCCTTGCCGAAGTCAACAACCGACACCAGCCTGATCATCCCCAGCCTCAGCAATGAAGACCAACCAGGCACTCGCACTCAAAGACCTCGAGGAACGGCTAAGAAATGAACTTCAACATAAAGTCCCTGATATCATGGATCACCTGGAGAGCGATCACAACTTGCTGCAGCACACGAGTTATGAGTTTGCCAAAATCACACACCGCATGTTGACTGGCCATGAACAGATCAGTTTGCTTATCGGTTATTTCCTGACTCTTGCAGGTCAGAAGGGAAAGAAGGTGTTCGCAATGTTTTGCAATGTTCTACGTCAGATCAACTTTGAGCAGCTTGCCAAGGAGCTGGAAAGCAAGGAAGAAATGTACGATCAAGGTACTTTGTCCAGCCAATCCAGTGGTGACATGGAGTTCCACGGATGGGAGTGTAAACGCTCTGCTCCATTTCTACCAGAAACCTTCCCATCGCCATCTACTGGATTACAACAAGCAGCCACCAATGCAGCCACTGCCAGTGTACAGAAGAGCCAAACAACAACTCAACAACAACAACAACCGCAGGCTGATGTTGAACCATTGCTAGCACACTACCGTAAGCGTCTTCTTCAACTTTGTCGAATCGAAAGCAAGAGGACTGCTCTACCAGGAATTGGGACACGGCGTGAAGGACAGACAGATGTTCGCAGTTTCTACACTAGCGTTCAGGCCTTGACACTGGAACAAGCTGAACAACGACTGAACGAAAAGGGTGGGAAAACAGAGAGATGCAGCACGACAACGGGATCAATACCAATACGTCGAGCATCACAACTTCTGCAACGTAAGCTAGGTGAACATGTGCCATCAGGTTACGATAACGACCGCAGATCACTTGTTGAAAGCAGCATGCTTGTTTCTCCAGCTGGCAGTGGTAAAAGCACAGTGTGTAAAATGCTTTTGTCCGACCACTACCATAACAACACTGACAGCAGCAGCAGCAACAGCAGCAGCAACAGCAGCAGTGCTGTACCTTCTTGCAGTGCTGTTGACAGTGGTACATGCACCAGTGCTACTGATCCTGATTCCACACGCCAAGCTAACACTACAACCAGCAAGGATGTAACTGCTACCAACAGTGGTAACGCCTCAACCAAGACAGGCAGTCTTAGCACATCTTCCAACACAACCAGCAGCAGCACGAGCACCAGCAGCAGCAGCACCAGCAGCAGCACCAGCTCCTACAGCAGCAGCACCAGCACCAACAGCAGCAGCACCAGCAGCAGCAGCAGCAGCACCAGCACCAGCAGCAGCAGCAGTACATGTGGTAGCAGCTGCGAAAACAGTGCAAGTGGCAAGAATGATGACGGCAAAAGTGGTGGAAGCAGAGATGGGCCCAACAGTGAAAAAGGTCGTGGGAGCAGCACTGAGAGCAGCGGTGGGAGAAGTCGGAGACAACATGCCGAAGAGGAGAGGAAGTTTAGAAGAGATGCAGTGCTGTCCAACTTCAACTATGTCGTACATCTACCTTGCCGTGATGTGGATCGAGTCTGCAGTTACAATTGGTCTACTCTACTTGGCCTGGATGAGCAATGTCTGCATCTAGACACGCACCAGCAAGACCAAATGATCGAGTACCTAGAGGATCAATCACAACAAGTCCTGTTCATTGTCGATGGATTGGACGAAATTGGCAAAGATGTGCTTGAGGATCGATCAGCTCTCTCATCTCTCGTCCATCGTGAACGGTTTGCTGACTCCCGAATCTTGTTGACAAGCCGTCCTTGTCAGCTAGCGTCCACGCTTGCAAAAAAATGTGAAGAACACTATTGGCTGGCTGGGTTCAATGAGCATCAACTCAAACGCTACTGCCTTCGTAATCTTGGTGAAGATCTTGGTCAGTCTTGTTGGGACGAGCTATGCGAGGTTAGCTCGGTGCACGTCAAAGAAGCACTTAAGTCCTCCCCATTGCTATGTGCAATGCTCTGTGAGCTCTACCGAAGTCGTCAGAATGTACCAAGGTGTGCAACCATGATGTACTCCGGCTTTGTCAAGCAAGCTGCAAACCTGCGTGGCTGGCAGTTGCAAGATAATGGAGTCAGCCTTGAGAGTCCCGCACTGAGTAACAGCTTGGCTCGTGCCACAACAACAGAGGAGGACCAAGAGGAACACTCTGCTCCACTGTGGACAACTCATAGCAGTCAACCCCATCACTGTGTACCAGCATCAACTGATACAGCCCACACCGCAGCTGTCAGTGGAGATACTGTACTAATACAACGTAGCAGTGATACGGAGCAATCACATCAATGTATGAGCAAACGTGCACAGAACGAGCTTGGTCGTGTAGCTCTCATGTACTTGAATAGCAAGCAAGTACTGATTCCTACTAGCGCCTTGTCCAGTGAGTGCAGGAATGCAGCTTGCTCTATTGGTCTCCTTGTTGAGAGTAACACCGGTATTGGCAATGTACTACGTTCACAGGCAAAACCATGTGTCTACTTCGTACACTACTCACTACAGGAGTACTTTGCAGCACAGTACTTGTGTGCAGATACTGAGCATGCTCAAGCTGTGAGAGAATGTGCACAATATGGTTATGGTGTTGGTGAGGAGACAGCACCATTCTGGGCATTTGTTTGTGGTACTGCAACTAGCAAGCAACTAGCGGAGATCATCAGTGTTCTAAAATCAGCAATGTTACAACATAGCCGGACTGTTGCTAACACTTCTCGTTCTCTCCTGTCCTACTTCATGGAGCATGTCAACACCAGACCAACCCTCGCAGAGCAAGCAATGCTAGGTTCTGGCGCAAGTGGGGAGACCAGTTACCTCTCCAAGGCAGTGGACTGCATTGCTGCTGATGGACTAAGACTGAATAACGTCCAACTTGGAATGAGTGATGTACTGGCTCTACAGTGTGTACATGATCATGCAACTACTATCAAGCTATTGGACCTCACAGGCTGCAACCTCACAGCAGAGAAGTGCAACATACTCACACTGTCCAAGGCTCAAGAGCTACGACTGCATGTGAATCCATGCAGTACCAGTCTGGTGGAAATGGCAGCAAGATCCCTATCTTGTCCAGGCAGCAAAGTGAGAAACCTTCGTCTTGCCACGTGTAATCTATCAGCATGTACCTATCCAGGTCTGCTGGCATGTGTGCAAGCTAAGAATCTCCAGGGATTACAGTTATCTTCCAATAAGGAACTTGGAAATGGTTTTCTGGAGTATCTACAACAGACACTCCACAGTGAGTGTCAGCTTACATACCTTAATCTGAGGAAGGTTGGTCTGACAGGTGGTTGTGGAAGTCGATTGGCTGAACTGATCACCAAACTGCCACAGCTTCAGCGACTGAATACGAGCGGCAATAACCTCAGCAACTCAGACGTGGAGCAAGTTCTGGCCGCTTTGAATACCAATGTAATTGGGATAGTCTGGGTCAAGGGCAATGCCCTGGATGATGGTATCGTTCCAGCTATCTGTGAGTTCTATCAGAGAAAGAACGGAAAGCTGCAGGAGCGGCATTCATCAACTAGCACCTCTCAAGCAGTTCAGAATGGCCACAAATGTCAAGTACAGTTACAAGGCTGTAATGTGACCCGAGAAGGTCTGGAAACCATAGCAACAGCACAGTGCTTATCCTGTGGTGATCAGGTGTTCACTGGTCTACACTTTGTGAACAGTGATGGTGTAAGGGAGCGGGATCTGCTGCAACCGTTGCTCGAGACCCATGCCAATCTCCACATGCAATATATTGGTGATACTGGCGCACAGCAGATTGCTCCAGCTATTGGCTTTAATGGCAGAGATCTCTATATGTACTACATAGCCCATCAAACCATCCAGAAAGTCATCCCAGTCATGGCTGTCAACACGACTATGGAGAGCCTATCACTTCCGTACTGCAACATGACCAACACTGGTGCAGAGGTGCTTGCCGAGCAAGGTCTGGCACACAACAACACACTCCGAGTGGTCGACTTATCGGACAACAACATTGGACTGCGTGGATTGTGCTCAGTACTAAGAGCATGTCGTCACCGCAATCTATCATCTCCACTGGCATTGGATATGTCAGATAACAACATCTTTCCTACGTATCAACAACTGCCACCGCTCCAACAACCACAACAGCAGCAGCAAATTGAAGTTATCCGTCCATTCACGAGTCTACTGTCACAGTGCACAGGGATTGTTTGTCTCGCACTTTCAGGGACAGGACTGGATGATGACACTGGAGCTAAGTTCATCACATCTCTACGCAGTAATCAGTCTATCAAGTGGCTCTCACTTATCCGTAATACCTTGAGTGATCGCAGCGCTGGTGCACTGTGTGTTGCTATGGAGACCAACACCTCGCTGAAGACCATCTCACTGTACAAGAACAATGTGACAGATGATGGAGTGAAGCAGCTCATCACATCACCTGGTGTACAGCGTATGTATGCTGTAGCATTGCGTGACAATCCATGTCACACAGAGCAGTTCAGATTGCCGCTGTTTGATGGTCGGATCTCATATAGCCATAGTAGTCTTCTGGAACTCACGAAGCGACGTGATTGAACAGCTGGAGCAATATGACAGTGAGTGTTTTCAGTCACGTGATCAATATTCTGCTGGCCATAGACTCTTCCTGTTTGCTATTATCATAATGACCATAAATTTTCAGGGAGCAGCCTTGAAACTGGAAATAGCTGCTACACTTGAATAGACGGAATGCATGACAGTACCCGCAGTGTTTGAGTTACCTGAGAGAGACAACTACAGTTGAAATCTATACTTTTTCTCATATCAGCAATGTTTAGTGAGAGCTACCATAGTTGGTTTAGATCACTTGTCAGACATTTCTTCAGCACGATCTTCACAAGACACACTTCATTCCCAAAACACGTAGAGATTGCAGTGCAAGAAGCAACATATCCACCAGCATCATTGTTTTTCTCTCCAGTAATTCTGTGTTGCTGTGTAATGCAACGTACACAGCAACTCAACTGTAATCATGGTTACAGCTATGTTACAGAATATACATTCACAGAGCATGGATAGTGCTGTCCTTTTCTTACACCCTTCCTCCCCTTCCATTTCCATCATTGAATTATGCAACTTTTGGATGAATTCCCTAAAAGAAGATCATGCTTCTAGAGGTAATCCCTCCTAGTGTGTTGCAGTGCTGCATGGGAGGAGGTAGCTGGAGCAAAGGAAGGGAGGGGAGCTGAGGGGAGGGAGACGGGAAGGGGAGAGTGACAGAGAGGGGAGCGGAGGGGAATGATACGGGGAGGGAGGGAGACGGGTAGGGGAGCGGAGGGAGACGTGGGGCGGAGGGGAGGCAGATGGGGAAGGGAACAGAGCGGAGGGGAGTGAGACTGGAGGGCAGGAAGAGATTAGGAAGAAAGCGGAGTGAAGGTTTCGGACTCGGCCGACTTGTTACAGGCACCCGAGGTGCTCCGCAGGGTTCAGTCCTGGGTCCGCTGCTCTCCAGCATCTACACCAGAGACGCACCGACTGTTACCTCCTCGACTAGGTCAATCCAGTTTGCAGACGATATAGCCTTGACTTCCAGTCGCCGCAGCGCTGTCTCGTCCAAGCTCACAACAGCAGTCTCTAGTCTAGTCGCAGGTGGTCTAATCGTCAACGCGACCACGAGTCAGCTGCTTGTCTTTGCATGATCAGATAGCTTCTAATGGGGGGGGGGGGGAATGGTTTAGACTATAACGCATAGTGGAAGCTTCGCCGGGATGAATTGCAAGGGCATCCGGTTTTTTGATTTATACAATTGAGTGCAGTAACAGTTCTACTTCCCACCTGGCTCCTTCATTCAACTGGACATAACCACGTATAGTGTAGTGATGCATGCCAAACAAACCTCTTTTTGCACAGCTACATGAAGCTACTTGTACACGTCATGTGACTCTGATCAAGGCACAGTTTGGCAAGAGAACATACATTGTACATCAGTACATGTACACAGAAAAACAGTTTTGTATAATAGTAGATTGGATACACTGCGGAATACCATCTTCAAAGTAATAATTTTGCAGGACTTTGCATTACAATATACCAGATAAATAATTTAACCTTGGATACACTGTACCTCGAATAAAACAGAGGAGTAGGAACCGGAGCGGCACGTGTGAGAAAAGAGGCACCAATAAAGATTTCATCTGGAGAATTTTCAAGCAATAAAACATGGGTTGTTTGGACCCATTCATAGAAACATTGCTCGCTCCCCACACCGGAGCTTGCGTTTATTCACCGACTTCACTGGACACTTGACTAATGATAGCCACCCAGAGCACACGAGAAGTCCATCGAACCTTCGACCCGGTGAATCTACAAGAAGGCATCTCTCCCTGCTCAATACACAGTGTTTCGGGGCATTCACCCACCGTCAGGTGACCATGAGGATGAGAAGTTTCAATGGAATTCTAGTGTGCTCTGGATCGCAGTCGTGAGTCAGTCAAGTGTCAAGGCGATTCGGCGGAAAAACGCAACCTCCGGTGTGGGGAGCGAACACCTTTCCTATAAAATCATTGCCACAGTCCCTACTACTATCACGTACTTTTGGACTCATTTCCCCAATTTGTTCCCGGACAACCCCTGCCCCCCCCCCCCCCCCCCCTCTCACTGCACACCTTTTTCATACGCACAACAATGTCGAGTACCATCCGACACCACCTGTACGTGTATAGGTTTTTCCAGTGCTTGATGGTACATGATGAGGGTAGTTCGGAGTTCAGACTTAGTACGTGCGATGCAGTATCTCTTCAGTCGCACCACACGTACACCGGATGATTAAAGGGGAAGTGCATCGCCGGATTTTTCGAGTATGGTCCGGAAGAAAGACAATTTGACATCGGTTCGAATGGCATATCTCTCGCTTCCATACGATAAGCCAAACTTGCCAAATCGCCAATTGTATACTCACGTTGCCATAGCGACCAGCGCAGTGATGGCGTACGAAAGGCTTAGCTTCACCACAGAGAAGGTGGATTACTGCAGAATTTGGTCATTTTCAATTGGTTTATTGTATTCACGAAGTGAAAGAAGGGCTCTGTTCAATGCTGTTAGTGCAGTGAACTGTTTGTAAGTAGTCCTCGTGGTTGTGTACTGGGACGTGACACCGACAGGAGAAAGCTGGAGTGCGGAGACACCAGCAGACAAGTGAAAATAGTGACGAACAAAATTCTGAAATCTTGGTTGGGGCAAAATAGAAGTTCAGCATTTCCCCCAACCAAGGAACATGCCGTTTGCTCTTTTCACTTCCTGAAGATGAATGTGATGCTTCCTGGCGACTCTACTATCTCTCGTAACATCCTCTGAAGCCAGGTGAGACGACGGGTGGCGGAGATTGACGAATGAAATAATGTTGTAGGTTTGAAAGTTTGCGAAAAATGTCTCAGTAGAGATGGCGAATTCCAAGCATCTTGTCCTGGAGGAAACCATTTCCTAGGCACAGTCAGCCTAGGGAAATGCATGAGAAGAGCGGTAAATAGTTCTTGGCACTAACAGCATTGAACAAAGCACTTCTTTCACATCGTGAATACAATAAGAAAATTGAAAATGACAAATTTCTGCAGTGATCGACCTTCTCTGTGGAAGAGCTAAGCCTTTCATACGTCATCACTGCGCTGGTCGCTATGGCAACGTGAGCATACAATTGGCGATTTGGCAAGTTTGGCTTATCGTAGGGAAGCGAGAGATACGCCATTCGAACCGGTATCAAATTGTCTTTCTTCTGGACCCTACTAGAAAAATCGATGCACTTCCCCTTTACATGTAACATGTACATCTACACTACAGTATAACCTGTCTAGGGTCACAGCTCAAGGTGCCTTCAAAATGTGGTCGCTGTCTACAGGTGATCTCCGCATCCAGGGTCGTTTGACTGAAAGCAACATCATTACAGTAAAACCGGAAAGTCTAACGAGTCACAAAGTCTAACGTTTTAAAGACCAATTTTTTATCTATTTTTTTCGTTACGTGAAGAAACGTTATAGGGAGATGTCTGTGCATATAGATGGGTACCGGGTGGCCGGCCAGGTAGCCATCGTTAAACTTTCTGCACGTTATCATGCCGAAATTACAAAAACGTTAAATTTTTTGGTCGTAAAACTTTCTGGTTTTACAATACTATAGCAGGAAATTTTCGGACGGAATTTATTTTCGTACGATTTCGTACACAGCCTCTTTTGCACTAAAATTAATTCCGTACTAAAATTTGTTCATGTGAAATTGCGTACACTATACATGTACCAGTATATGCATACTGCTTGCGAACACGTTTATTTACCATTCACTGATGCAGCACTGTACGAAAATACAATCTGTACGAAAGGTAGAAATCCGACTTTGGCCGAAACATTTTCCGTCCGAAAATGTCCTGCTATACAGTAATTCCTGAGCTGTGGTGGTCTCTGAGGCAGGTGGTCGCCTTATAAGACTTAAGAGTGGTCACCTTGACAGTTTACTGTACATGAAGACTACCGGTAGTCAAGTTTAGTTAGTACTAGCATTGCCTATGCAAGAAGAGCAAGTGTCTGCATGCCATCCCTAATAAGTCAGTACAGTCATGCTGGCCCAGTACATGTACCATTGGATACCGTACACGTACGAGATGTACGGCATCTTACCTATGCAAACAGGGACATGTATCCTGCAAGTCGACATGCTCCGGAAAATTTGGCCAAAATCGTATGCACGTCCATTGACATTCCAATGTCTCGACTGCAGTAATTCCAGTGACAGTACCTCAGCCTGTATAATAGTATTTTATACTAATATGCTAGGCAACCGTAAAAGCTGGTCACTCGCCAGCAGGCACCTTGGGTCTCATAACGTGTTCTCCTAACCTAGCTGAGCAGACTAATTTATGCCATTGTATGCAGTAACACTGTGGGCACTTCAACACAAACTTAGAGTAGGTGATAAAGAAGACCTGACTGTACCCATAGAGTGCAGGCTATGGGCATGCTTGGAAAGAATAAAATCCACCTAGAAACTTACTACACATTACAGTGATGACTGTACGTGTACGAATGTGACCAGCTCTAGCTGACCTAGTCAGTGCTCTTCAAGAAAAGTAAGCACAAACACAAAGAACTGAACATCACCATCTACCAGCGACGTGTCGTGCACAATGCCATGTACATGTTGTACAACTATGCTGTTTTTGGTTTGTGTGTCGGGTTAGTGCTAGCTGTAGTGTAGGTGTGAAGTCTAGACATGCAGCAGAAATCAGCACTGATAAAATTAAATGATAAGCTACTACAGCTGTAGTGCTAACAATAGCAAGACTCTCATTGTGTCAATATCCCTATGATTATGACACGGGCATGTCTACTCTGATAATGTACTCACCGACTACAAACTAGTTTTCATCTCGAAATTGAAGCGAACGCAACCTCGCGGCCGGCCCATCAACAACATCAAGATAATTATTAAACGACGTTTATTTAAAAATTGTATGGCTGCAGCGAAGGGGATTTTCTTTGTGGCGGGTCTGATCTACTCACCTCCCACCGTTTTAGGAGGTAGCCCTTTCCCAAAGGTGCTCTTGCTTTTCGCGTCCCTCAAAATATGCTGAAAAAGCTCTTTTTTCAGTGAAAACAGGCAAAAAGTACTCTTTTTTCAGTGAAGCATAGCCATGATACATGTTCAGATATGAACCCAAGCTGAGAAATGAATACGCACTCTTCCATTTATGGGTCCACGAAAGGCAAAACAGGAAGTAAAATTCAAAAACCCACATTTTACAGGATTATGTACACCGGGTACAAGCTTCATCAACTAACTACTTGTTCATCAACTAACTACTTGTTGCCCCCCAAAAAAACGGCGTGCCAAGGCCCATCGAGCACTCGGAAACTGTGATCGCGATCGCACGCATGCGCAAACAAACATTAATTTTAGCACTTTGTCTGCTAAAAATGCTCAAAAAGTGCGATATTCACCAAAAAACGCAATAAAGGGCGAAAGAAACTAGGCCTTGACAGATTATGCTAGCATAATTTGTCGCTTAATTCCTACCAAAATCGAATCATCGCATAATTCGAGGCAAAATGCATACGAATCGCATAAAATTGGAATAATCCGCCTGTTCGCATCAAATTCCATACAGTAAAAATTGTGTACATGTTCTACAAGTACAAGTACAAGTAGATGCACCAGGAAGTCGTAGGTTTACGACTTCCGTGAGAACATGTCCAGTCGGGACCAGCCCACTACAATCAGTGACGGTCGCGCGGTCGTAGCTAGCTGTAGGTCGGACGGTGCGTTGACCCCGTTGAACTTTTGCTACTACAGTACAACGCCCTCTACAAAAAAATTCCCCTGTTATTTTGCACAGAACCATTATACATCAGCAGCATTATGTGAGCACAATGCGGCATAATATGATAACTTTTAGCATAAAAATAGCATAATTCTGCAATTTTTTCAGCAATGCGAAAAGCATAATTTCACGAAAATATTAGCATAATCTGTCAAGGCCTAAAAACAAAGCACAATGGCTCATTCCTAGTCTGTTTTATTTTCCTTTTTACTTCCGTGAGAGAGAAGGTCAATCACTGCAGAATTTTGTCATTTTCAACTATGATTATTATTAAATGGAAAACCTTACAAGCACTATCTTCAATCCAAGTGGTCACTTCGCTGCAAATTACAATAATTCTCAATCAAATTTTCGGCCAGGAGTCATCATCTGGATTCCTGATGATGGCTCCTGGCCGGAAATTTGATTGAGAATTGTTGTAATTTGCAGCGAAGACTCGAAGAGACCACTTGGATTGAAAATGGTATGTGTAAGGTTGTCCATTTTAAATGGAAACCCTTACACCACTGCAGCCACTTCATTAAAATGAAGTAGGTAGGTACATTTTTATTTGAATTCGCAGAACCAAACGGGCGGTGTCGCCCAATTACATGGAAGCGAATGGAAACAGTAAAATATTGTAGGAAATAGCCTAACATGATAGCAGGGTGTAGTACAAAGCAAAGAACGCTCAGTCAATGAATAACGTTAACGTTAGAATACAACAACGGGGAGGCGGTAAACAGCACATGACTGGTACTGTGCAAACGTTCAAAGATTCCTGTGTGTTCAGTAGTGGGTGCTACTGCTAGCAAGACAGAACGGGAGGCAGGCTTGTTTGAACTGGTGGTACTGGGTAATACCACGCACGTCGGATGGCAGGGTGTTCCATAAAATGGACCCGCGAGCGGTTGGACGGTCGTGGCCGGCTTTGGAGGCAGATTTGGGCACTCGAAGGCCCAAGCTGCGTTGTGCGCGCGTTGTTCGAGTACTGGGATGCTCCAGAAGGGCTTGCAGTGTATTGCTTGCCCGACCATTCGAGCAACGCCAGATCATAATAAGGGTCTTTTGCTTGTGGAGCTCTTCGATGCCATACAGCTGCAGACGAGCAAGCAGAGGTTGGGCGCTTGTGCGAGGTGGCAGGCCGAATACGGCGCGTGCCGCACGGTTTTGCTGGACCTGAAGGCGGGACCGCTGGTCTTGTCGAAGGCACCCAGAGAACGCCACGGACCCGTAGAGCAAATCTGGCATCACAACGGATTTCACGTACTGCTCTCTGTGGCTGCAGTGAAGCTTGCGCACATTAAGAAATTCTTATTATTATGTGCCTCTCCTCGTTTGCATCAGGGTGTGTTACTACAAAAATCAACAAATCGACATAATAACACATCCACCGCTAGCATTCGCTCAGGCCGCTCAACTAGTCAGAAGACAGTAAGGACAAGAGAAAGCGAGGGAAGGGTCACAGTGCAGCGGGGTCGAAGGAGGGTTCCCAGTAAAAAGGCAATGGCTGTTGGGAGTTCCCTAGTAAAAATAATAAATTCTACTACTTGTACTTCTACTTCTAGCACTCAGGAAAAAAAGAAGGAGGCAAAGGATATGGAAGAAATGATTGTCCATTCCATTCCATTCATACATCATGTCATGTTCCATTTGGGCAAATCCGGGCATTCCTCTGCAGGCTCAGGTAAGGAAAAGCTGCCGCCATCCTGCACTGTCCTGTGTCAATTGTCTTATTTTATTCACGATGTGAAAGAAGTGCTGCGTTCAATGCCGCAAGATGTTTCTTTGAAATTTGGATGCCAAATATATTGCGCATTAGCTGCGGTTGATCTGAGGAAATCTTTCTCGCTTGTGGAGATGAAAGGCGCCGAGCTCGAGTCGTATGTGGAAAACATCAAACTAAAACAAACAAAACAACGGTGGTAGGATTCGTAGCGCGCATCTCAAAAGGCAGTCTTTCCTGCCGAATTTATTTGATACTTCACTAACTCACGACTGTCACCCAAAGCAGACGAAAAGTCTATCGTACCTTCGACTCGGAAATACATCATGAAAGAAAGCCTGCAAGGAGGCACAAGTCGCCCGCTCAATACACGATATTTCGGGGAATACTTCAGTTGAGCTTGAGTAGGCTGAAGAAGATTATGCGTGAAGAGCACCACTTTTATAGTGTTCTCTACATTGTAGGCCAAAACATTACCAGGCATGCAACCTAGCTCACAGAGCTAGAGCCGATCAATTTGCAGCGCGACAAACATCTCGGGAACACCAGATAACAGTGCGAGCTTTACATCGTCAGTCTTTTCTAGCCACCATGCATACAATCATGCATGTCAGGCTGTGCGTCCTTGTCTGATACAGTGATGATTCCTGTCAAACGCACAAATGACGTCGTATTCCCTGCGTTGAGACAAAGTCCCTCGCCATGCACAGGAGATCACCGAGTCAGATTACTCATACTGGATCACAGTGCTGAGAATCGACATCACGTGTCAAGCTGACACATGGTTGACAAGTCGAAGGATCGAAGAGAGAATGCCGCCATTGGTCAAATGTGAAGGGCCTCTCCACGCATGCGGTACAACAGTACCAGTATGACCAGAACAAGCTCTTCATGGCTCAGTGTCCTGGTGTCTGTCTCTGTAATAATGCCTGTCTCTTGTCCATTGGCCTTGGCACATCGTGCGACACAGGTAAATCTACGCACAGAGGTGTCAGAAATCAGTAGGCAGTGGATATGGTTGGCTACGGTTTTCGGCTTCTGTTCTCCGATGCCGCGATGTCCCGATGCACATAGTCCGTCCAACCCCGAGCGTGTGTGACAATCCAGAGTTGGCACCGTTGCCAGTGCCAAGTGAGCGCGTGCTTCTTGCCAGAGTGGGCATCATGACACGAATAGGCAACGGTAATTTTGGTCTATTTGAACTGGAAAGCTCTCCGAGCCAGATCGGCTTTCCTTGGCTCTGGTTTTCGTTTTGTAGCCTATTTTGGCTGGGAGCAGGGAGTCGACTCCCTCGTTGCGGGCGCTAGAGCGGGGAGAAACAATCTCAACTTGCCTGGAATAGTTCCGATCGAACTCCATACCCTATTGGGCATCGTTCGCATTCGGAAAAAGAGGCTATTGTGTTGAGTCTCTTAGGATTCGCTTTCCTTCAACAAGAACCGTACATTAGGTCAGTACTAAGAGTAGCTGGCTGTCGCGACAGTCAATTATTATTCGTGAATTTTCTCCGTTGACGAAGACCCTGTGGACTAGGTTAGGCTCTTTACCGGCAGCCGCCCCCACACGGGTGGTGCAGTCGTTGCTCTTCAAACCAGTTGTCCGGCTCTCGATGTCCGATTGTTACTGGTGCATACCGCGTATCGCTGGCTTCGTGACCCGGCTTAGAGCACTCAGTGCCAGGAACAGGTATTTCGTTCGCTATTCGCCGTTTCGTAACATCGGAACAAGTGTAGTTCACTGGTCGAAGGTCGCCAGCTAAGCACCCCATACGTTTGGTGGTCGTTTCAATCATCTTGATACCAAGTCAGTTGTTTGCCTTGCGACCAGAGTGAAACGGAACGCAGCTTCGTTGGCTACCCATCCAGGTGAGACAACTCTTCGTCACGGCCCGGTCGTGGATTCAGCCCTCTATCTCGATCCGGAACAAGTGCAAGGGGTGAGGAGAGGACGTGAGAGCGACACGCACGTTTAGTGGTGTCTGGTGACGACGCAAAGGCATCATCCACACTCGCCACGCCACACCGCTCAGCAAGTACAGACCGGTGAGTTTCCAGAATACAAAAATATGATGTAATTGTTACTCTTCTACACTCCCAGTTCGGTATGCTTTTCTAGCTCTGTAAGATAGGTGGAAACATTACTTTTTCTGCGTGACCATGACAGTCATATTGTGGTCCTTTGCGAGTCTGGCAACTTGGGGGAGACGTGACCCAACGTGTTTGCTTCACTTGACATTAGGATACCTCGTTGTTGAGAATAGACCCAGCAATGGCAGTCGTTGGCTATGCCAGTATGAACTGTTCACTGGTGTGTTGTCCTAAAAGGATAAAGTGATTGATCACACAGTGTGTTTCTTGTGGTCGGGTGTAACGGTTTTAAACTAAGTTCTCTGTGAGTGTTGATGAAGTGTTACGTCAACTTGCCAACAGGTACAAGTGTACTGTTATTGGTATGTACCCCCCCCCCCCCCCCGCCCAGCCCTCCTAACACACTCAGTGGTGGGTGGTGGTGGGGCTGCACACTACATGTATATGGAGACAAGTGACATGTCATATTAATTCACTGGGCACACTTCACAGTCCTCATTACTAGCATTCAACAAAGCCTTTTTGCAGGGATTTCCCCTTGTTCGATACAGTGTATGGCTGCTGGGATCATTCCGACTGCGAAATGTTCATTTCTTATTGCATGCAGTGATGCATTTATGCACGGGTTGTGTTTATATCTTGAGTTACACAACGCCATGTTAAAACTGTCCCACGGGTTGTATATAAGGGGTGTTGCTTCAATAAAATTTTTTGGGCCGTTCTCTTTTGCTCAATTTTACCACCATACAGGGACTTGGTCACCTGTTGAAAGAGATCCTTGCTTGAAAGCTGCGGTTAGCTGAAGTGGATTCATCGAATCATCGGCGATCTCTCCCAATAGCTGTGCTTGCTATTCATCAAGGTAAGTTTCTGTGAAGGCCAAATTCTGAAGTTCTCTTGTGTTTTCTTGTTTGCGTGGATGATGAAATAGAATGTTCGGTCTAGGACCATTTTGCGGTGAATCTGATCTACTCACCTCCCACTGCTTTATGAGCTGCATCTACACCTTGATCTTTGAGGGTGGTGGAGTTCCTATAGATGCTGAAAACTCGGTCTTTCGCGGAGTTTAACGCGAACCGTGAATTTTGTGGGTGTGGGTGTGCGTGTGTTTTCATGTGCGTGTGAGTGAGTGTGTGTGTGTATTTGTGTGTGTATGTGTGTGTGTGTGTGTGTGTGTGTGTGTGTCTGTGTGTGTGTGTGTGTGTGAGTGAGTGTGTATGTGTATTTCTACCACAGATACTCAGTTACTTGTAGAAAGCGTTCCCTGGCGGAAAGCTGCGGTTAGCTGGTGTGGATTTCATCAAATCATCTCCAATCTACGCTGATATCACCGTTCACTAAGGTAGCTTATGTTTCTGTTCTTGCTGGGGTGCTCTGCCCCGAATACATCACAATTTACATGCAGGTACTTCACCCGTAAACAAAAAATACTTTGTGATGGGTTACGATCGGTACAGGTAAAGAACATTTTGTGTAGACTAGAAATCACTCGTCGAAGGTGGTTCACCCAATGTACTTTACAGCGTCTATACAAGAGAAACTGTTGGTGGCATGACCCAAGAGTTCATTTTGCGTCGCAATTGCACGATTCATCTTTTGCTTTCAAGCTCCGTAATCCACGGTGGTGAATATAATAATGCCCACGATGGTGTCGTTAAATATTTTGAGACTTTCTGGTGTTCACCTCCACTCTCTAGTATTCTGCGAACGGAGGAGGAAAGGCACAGCCAAACACATTCCATTTTCCATGCTGGATACTCCTCCCAGTACTGAGCGGCAACCACTAGCAAGTGACGTCAACTTGCCTTAGCCACGAGAAGTCGCACTTCAGAATTCTAAAGAATGCATGGTCGTCAACTTTCAGATTTGCACTTTGTTGAGGTTGAACAAGAACTTGAATTCAGAATCCTTTCATTTTACCATGTGATTGGAACAACTGGGTGTCTACTTGTTCAAGGAATGGTCTCGCTGCTCCTTTTCATCGCTCTCTTTCACTCTCAAACTGAGAGCTAGAGAGGTCGAGCAGCGCATTATGTCCTTGGAGAAGTGGTATTCCTGTTCCGTTCATCATGGCTTTCATGAACGATGTTGCCAGAGAGCAACCATCGGTTCCCCTCGGTTTTCCTCTCGGTTTGTTGTGAATAATCGCTTTCCGTGCTTGTATCTCTTTCCCGGCATGCACGTGAAGGCAGAGGAAGTGATCACGACTGTTTTTATGGCAATTGATGTGCAAACCAGTGCATCAAAAATCCATCACAAAGTTTTTGTTCACGGAGGAAGCATGCAGTGCTTGTACCTGCGACAAGTGAAACTTGGCACGTTTTTTAGTTCAATCACTCAAACTATCTCACACTTTACGATCGAAAATAATGATTGGCTCACCAAAATACAACTTTGCATTGCTCAACAAGGACACTACTCGTCGAGACATCAGTTAGTCTAAATCACATACCTCTGCATCTGAGATCGCAGCTTCTTGAGGAGGGGAATTGTCACTGTCTTTGGACGAATGTGACTAAAGCGGATTCAGGTGCAGCAAGCGCCTCAGCTGTGATCGCTCTATAGCTCTCGATGTTGCTCCTGTGTGCAGTGCGAGAGCCACAATGTTGAGGGTAGTAATTTCGGCCGCCACTCTTTAGAATACCGTGGTAAGAAATGTGGAAACACCTCCACATGGACTCCATCGTTTCGCCTGCGTCTTCTCGCCAACCAAGCGAGTCCAAAATGGCCGCTAGCAATTCCTGGAGATTTTCCTTACAAAACAGACACATCGGTCTGGAGCCTATTGAAAATCACCAGGTAGTTGACAATGCCATCTGTACTCCCGCAGAGGGAGCGAGAACAAATTGGGTTTGCTTCTACACGCGAAAGCAGGACGATTCTCCTTTGAAGTTTGAGGGGGAGCATCATCGTACTGCTACAGAAGAGACTCGCCTGCCTCAGCACACTGTGTACCTCTGGAACGTGAAAATCACCATGTGCCACTCGACAGCTCAACGCTTGGCTTCCTGCACCCGGATACAACCATTCGTCGGAGGTAGTAAGTTAGGTGTATGCCTTAATGATGTTCTCCACCCTGGGAATTGTGAAATGTGATGCCGAGTTATTGAGTTGTTTTACCAAGCAGACAAATCATTGTGTGTGTGTGTGTGTGTGTGTGTGTGTGTGTGTGTGTGTGTGTGTGTGTGTGTGTGTGTGTGTGTGTGTGTGTGTGTGTGTGTGTGTGTGTGTGTGTGTGTGTGTGTGTGTGTGTGTGTGTGTGTGTGTGTGTGTGTGTGTGTGTGTGTGTGTGTGTGTTAGGTAGTGTGTGTGTGTGTGTGTGTGTGTGTGTGGTGGCGGGGGGGGGGGGGGGGATGGGGTGCAGGGTGAGTGTGTGTGGTGGTGGTGGTGGGGGGGGGGGGGGGGGGGGTGTTTGTGTGTGTGTGTGACACAATGATTCCCTCTCTCTAAGTGTACCTCCCGCCAATCTCCGGTTCCAAGTCTTTGCTCATTTACTTGCATATAATTCCAAGTTCAATGATGCAACCTTGGTCAGCGGGGGCATTCTAGGGCTTGGCCTGATTCTTAACTTGTTGGAAAGAGGCTAAAGTTGTCCACTGTTGCTATGACAATGAGTATTCATGAAACCCCCAACCAACCCGCTACCACTGTGCCCTAGGAAGGTGAAACACGTGTCAATAGTACAGCTTGTAGTCGAGTATCCGTTTACTCCTGCAGTGCACAGTGTGCTAGTGTCATGGTACTCTAGTGTTGTGCCAAGCCACATTACTTCTCTCTGTGAGAATCATACCTGTGCACCAGATATCTTGTGCAGGCCGTGGCCAAATTCAACTAACTTGTCGCCTGTGACTGGAATAGGGGATAGCAAGGGGTGGATGTGGAGATTGTGCAGCCTGTAGCTAAACAAGACTTGTTTCTGCTGGTTTTCAGTGTGCCATGCTAGCCAGGGATAATTGATCAGTGTGCATGGTCGATATTTGCAGTACTTATTGTAATTGCAGTAGCCTGCCTAATCAGTACCGGGGTGAAATGGCAAAAAGCCGACTTGCAAAGCGGCTTGACGAAGTTGGTCTCTTGAAGACAGCATTTCAGCTTTCAGAGAAGACGTCGCTTGTTTCAAGTGGGGTACTGACAATTGCTTTGCCGGGGCGAGGAACCCGTGCGGCCAATATTGTGGCCAAAGCCGCACCTTTGGCCGAACCGACTATCTTGTGCCGTTTGAAGCATTGTATTTTGGGATTTTGGGTCCAATTTTCCGAAAAATATAAATGGCGGAGGGCCCCTCCCCCCCCCCCCCCTCACTCCCCTGCATGTTTATGGCTGTACCAGTGTGGAATACTCTCTGACCCCTGCCCCCCCCCCCATTCCCTCCCTGCCCCCCTATCTCTCCCCCTGTTCAGTCCATGAATGCTTGGAGATAGCAGCTGTGATGAAATCTGAAGCGTTTGATTTCCTCGTCCCGCGTATAAGCAACACTATACACACCACAAAATATGTTATGAAAACTACCAGTGCTCGCCGTATATTCCATTGTGGGAAGCCAAGGCACTGGTAACATTAGGCAAAACATGTCCCCAACGATAGCTTACTTTGTGAAGATCTTGATAGTCAATTTGCTTTGTTCTCTTGTGTTTTCAATCCTATTACTTTACAGAGAATCGGTGTCTTGTTGAAAGAGAACCTCGCAGGATAGCTGCTGTTAGATGGTGTGGATTTCATCGCATCATCATCGATATCTGCCAGTATCTGTGTTCACGTTTCATCAAGGTATGTTTCTGTTCTTACCGGGATGCTCTCCAATGAATACATCACAACTTACATGTGTGTATGTGTTTCATGTTAGTATACTTCACACAGAGTAAACAATGGTCAAACAAGCTGCCACGTCTACCCATTGCAATTAAAGGGGAAGTATACTCTAAAATATATTGTTCGCCAGTTGTAGTCTTTGGGGTGCTGAGTCGAATGGTGTTGGTCCGAGGAAGCTGAGACGATCCCTTCCTCCTTTATTCACAATCGAACTCGCGCATCTCCACCGAAACTGGGTGACTGCGCCCTACTAGATGGGGATTTGTATGCAAAAGGTCCCTTAAAGCGTAATTTCGCTCTTGTAGAAGCACGGATGATCGCGATTGGCCCATATGTTGTAGTCTTTCGGACCCTGAGTGGACTGGTTTTGGTCCGAAAAGGCTACGACGCAGTGTTCAGGCCTTATTTCCAGTCAAACACGTGTGAGTAAGCGGTCACGGGCTCATGCGTACACCAGTCGCCTGGTCAGCGTGCCTGCAGGCTACAACTTTCACGAGAAAGGTTCAACTCAAAAGCTCAAAGGTTCAACTCGAGTGACAGGAACGCTGTAAAAGTTGTAGCCTGCAGACACGGTGACCAGGTGACTGGTGTACGCATGACGGCTTATTTACTCGTGTTCGATTCAGAATAAGGGTGAATGTTGCATCGCAGCCTCTTCGGACAAAAACCAATCGACTCAGCATCCAAAGGTCTACAGCATATGGACCAATCACGGTCATCCGTGCTTTTATAAGAGCGAAACGGTGCTTTTAAGTGACATGTTGCTTACAAGTCCCCATCTAGTAGGGCGCAGTCAACCAGTTTTGATGGAAGTGCGTGAGTTCGATTGAGAATAAAGAAGGAAGAGAGTGTCTCAGGTTCCTCGGACCAAGACCATTCGACTCAGCACCCCGAAGACTACAACTGGTGAAAGTTTGATTTTTGGGTATACTTCCCCTTATCACATCTACCATCACGGTGGAAAGATTGTACTCTAAGATATAATCAATTTTAGGGATTGGGGAAGTGTGTCTTGCACCCTACATGGGAGCTCGCGGTTTTCCTGCCGACTTGAATTCTCACTTGACTGACCCATGACTGCCATCCAGAGCACATGAGAAGTCAATCGAACCGTCCACTCGGCAAACCTGCAAGAAAGCACCACTCCCTGCTCAATACACAGTGTTGGGAATTCACCCCTCATCAGTTGAGCTTGAGTAGGCTGAGGAAGATTGTGCCTGAAGAGCACCACTTATGAAGTGCTCTCCAGGCACACACATTACCTGGGATACAAACTTACAGAGACCCTCCGTTTCCAGCGCAGGAAAACCGCGAGGTCCCATGTAGGTAGCAACACACAGTTCCCAAACTATCGCCGAACTCGCACCACCCTCTTCTTCACATTTAGGGATTGGGTTGTAGTATTTCAGAAAATTAACATGGCTTTGGTTCTTATACAGCGATGATAGCATGGTCATCAATCTGTCTTTGTTGCCTCTCTATTCATTCTGTTGTCTCCCTGTCCATTCTGTTGTGTCTTTGTTTATTCTGTTGTGTCCCTGTTCATTCTGTTATCTTCCTGTTTATTCCGCATTCTTACAGAGAAGGGGCCAAGGCGAGAGGTAGAATTCGCAGGACAGCTGTCAGATTTTGGAGCGTGGTCTTCACAAGCATCGAAGTTCACGATCGATATCACATACTCCTATTCAACAAGGTATGTTTGATATATCCCTAAGATTACACCGTCTTGATAGAATCTTCGGGCAAATTTTCAATGGTGCTGGGGGGTTGATATAGGCGGGGGGGGGGGGGGGGGGTGTCTTTGTTGTGTCCCTGTCATTCCTGTTGTCTAGCTGTCCTTTCTGTTGTCTAGCTGTCCTTTCTGTTGTCTAGCTGTCCTTTCTGTTGTCTCCCTATCCATTCTGTTGTCCCCTGTTCATTCTGTTGTCTCCCTGTCTATTCTGTTGTGTTACAGAGAAGCGACCAAGGAGAGAGGTAGAATTCGCACGAAGGCGATCAATTTCCAGAGTGTGGTCTTCACAGGCCTCGTATTTTTCGGTCAATATCACAGACTCCAATTTAACAACGTATGTTTGATATGGTTCTTAGATGTACTGTTTAAAACTATTATTACAAGTTGAACCCTCACAGCACCAAAAAGGCGAACCTGGAAGGATATAATTGTTTTTCTTGATCACGATGGGTAACTATTTGATGTGTATGGCGCTTGAGCCAAGCCGCTTTCTTAAGCTAGTACTATGTGCCTGGTAAGGGAATTAAACCTGATCTCTGAAAAGATCATGTTTGCTGGAATTATTCTAAGTGCAAAATGTGATTTTTTCATTGCTTGTTGCGATGAATTTGTGCACATGTTTTTATATCTCGAGTTACACAACGCATAGTTTGAACTGTTCTGTGGCCTGTAAGGTGTCGCTTGCATTAACGCCTATTTGTGCCTTTCTTTTGTGTTTAATTTTACCACCACACAGGAAATTGGTCACTCGTTGAAGGAGTTTCTTCCAGTAAACCTGGGGTTAGCAGGAGTGGATTCATCTAACCTTTGGCGATCTCTGCCGATATCTGTGCTCGCTATTCATTAAGGTATGATTCTGTTCTTACTGTGGTGCTCTGCCTCGAATCCATCACGATTGACATGTAGGTACTTCCTCCATAAACAAAAACTTTGTGATGGATTACGATGGATATGGAAACCATTGGGACAGGTCAGAACAATTTGTGTAGACTGGAAATCACTCGTCGGAGGTGGTTCAACCGACGTACTTTTACACAGTGTCTATACAAGAGGAATTGTTGGTGGCGTGACCTGACACTTCATTTTGCGTCGCAATCGCACGACTCATCTTTTGCTCTCAAGCTGCGTAATCCGTGGTGGCGAATATACTAAAGGCCACCAGGGAGTCGGAAACTTTTATTATTGCCAGATTTCCTCCAATCTCTAGTATTTTGTGAAAGGAGGAGTAAAGGCACTAGCAAGTCACTTCGACTTCTCGTAGCCACGAGAAGTCGGACTTCAGAATTCTAAAGAATGCATGGTTGTCAATGTTCAAATCTGGGCTTTTGCGCAGGTTGAACAAGTACTTGAATTCAGAATCCTTTCATTTCACCGTGCAATCGAAACAGCTGCGTGTTCACCCGTTCATTGAGTGGCCTCGCTGGTCCTTTTCATTGCTCTCTATCACTCTCAAGCTGAGAGCTAGAGAGGTCAAGCGGCGCATTATGTCACCAGAGAAGTGGTATTGGCGGTCCGTTTGTCATGGCTGTCATCAAATATGTTCCCAAAGAGGGACCGTTGATTCCTCTCAGCTTGTTATGAACAGTCGCTCTCTTCGCATCGTATCTCTTTCATGTCCAGAACTGCCATTCCGAAATATTTAATACGGATATATACTTTTTGTTCATCTCTTACTTGAATTCCCTGTGGTTTCAGTCTGAAACTACGTCGGCATCTTGAAAACTATATCGCTGTTTACAGATGGCCCCTTATAGACCTTGAGAAAGCCAACATGACCTCTGGTTCCCCTACTGTGATGATAGCATGGTCATCAATCTGTCTGTTGCCTTTCTTTTCATTCTGTTGTCTCCCTGTCCATTCTGCTGTCTCCCTGTCTGCTCTGTTGTCTCCCTGTCCATTCTGTTGTTTCACAGAGAAGCCGCCAAGGCGAGACGTAGAATTCGCACGGAAGCTGTAAATTTTCAGAAGGTGGTCTTCACAGGCATCGTATTTCACGGTCGATATCACAGACGCCTATTCAACAAGGTATTTTGATATCTCCCTTAGATATACTGTCTTGAAACAATCGTTAGACAAAATTTCAATGGTGCTTGACGCAAGGAATTATTGAAGTAGTGAGCCCAAAATTGACTTTGACCAACAAGTTCACTTTACCATACTGTTTCATTTGCGAAGTCGGACACACCAGGAGTCGATGCAACTTCATTTGACCAATCGGTTAAATTTGTATCAATTGCAGTGGAGTGGAGGGGGGGGGGGGGGGGTAGAGGGGGTGGTACGTTTGTGGCTGAGCATGGCAGGAAGAATAGGTTTGTGTGATCAATGTTATCAGCACTTACTGTCCATGCAACTTGTCCTCTGTGACTGGGATGGGAATAGGGGTGGGGCGGGGGTGTAGGGGAGGAGGGGAGGGGGTGCCATGGACTGTATCTTTGTAGACTTCCTCTCCATTCTGTTGTCTCGCTCTCCATTCTGCTGTCTCCCTGTCCATTCTGTTGTCTCCCTGTCCATTCTGTTGTCTGGCTCTTCATTTTGTTGTCTCGCTCTCCATTCTATTGTCTCCCTGTTCATTCTATTGTTTTACAGAGAAACGGCCAAGGCGAAAGGTGGAATTCGCACGAAAGCGTGGTCTTCATAGGCATCGTAGTTCACGGTCAGCATTACTGATTCCTATTCAACAAGGTATGTTGGTTATGTCCCTCAGATATCCGGTCTGGAAACAATCATTGGGCAAATGTGTACTGGTGCATCATCCAAGCCAATATTGATGTAGTCATCCCAAAAATTGACTTTGACCAACAAGTTCACTCAACCATACTATTCTATTCCCGTAGCTATGCAGAAGACGTTACGTCAGTAACGTCTGGTGCCAGCCACACAGCTTAAATTTGGTGTTTGTTTGTGGCGGACGGACCTCCGTCTGTCACTATCCCGTATCTGCCCCGTACCGTACCATCAAAGACAGCTGGCCACTAACAGCTGGCCACAATATTCAAATGCAAGATTATAACGTGAAGCAACTTGGAAAAATGAGTATGAATGCGAAGTGTATCGGGTAATGCATGTAGCGCGATTGTGCGGGTTCGAATCCCAGGTTATGATTGAAAAAAATAGGAGAATTGAAAAATGTATAACATCCCTCTGCATTTTTGCCTAGGTCATCAAGGTGGTAGACGGTGTCGTATTGCCCTAGACCGTACCTGTTCCGTACCGTACCGTACCATCAAAGATGGCTGGCCATAAACAGCTGGCCACAATATTCAAATAGGGCTTTCAAATGCAAGATCATAACGTGAAGCAACTTGGAAGAATTAGTATGTATGCGAAGTGTATCGGGGATGCATGCGGGGCGATAGTGCGGGTTCGAATTCCAGGTTATGTCATGGAAAAAAGAGGAGAAATGAAAAAACTTACTTTGCTTTTTTGCCTATGTCATCAAGGCAAAAAGCATAGCATAGGGCCCTTAGCTTCCAAGCTCTCTCGTTTGCGAGGTCGGGCACACCAGGAGTCGGTGCAACCTGATTTAACCGATCGGTTAAAATTGTATCAAATGCGGTAGGGTTGGAGTGTGGGGTTGGCAGAGTGCTTACTGTACATACAATGTGTCCTCTGTGACTGAGATAGGGATAAGGGTGGGGTGGATGGGTTGGTAGAGGGGGGGGGGGGAGGGGAGGGGGGGTTGTCATAGCCATCAATCTGTCTTTGTTGTGTCCCTGTCCTTACCGTTGTCTGGCTCTCCATTCTGTTGTCTCCCTGTTCATTCTGTTGTCTCTCTGTTCATCCCGTTATCTCGCTGTTCGTTCTGTTGTCCCCCTGTTCATTTTATTGTCTCCCTGTTCATTCTGTTATATCGCTGTTCGTTCTGTTGTCTCCCTATCCATTCTGTTGTCTCCCTGTCCATTCTGTTGTTTTACAGAGAAGAGGCCAAGGCAAGAGGTAGAATTCGCACGGAAGTTGTCAATTTTCGGAGCGTGGTCTTTACAGGCATCGAGTTTCACGGTCGATTTCACAGACCCCTTTTCAACAAGGTATGTTTGATATGTCCCTCAGATGTACTGTTTATAAAAATCATGAACCAAATTTTCAATTGTGGTTCACGCAACCTATTGTTGAACTGCCCCCAACCAAAAACGCAACCAATAAAGGGCCTTGACCAACAACGTCCCTGTGGCATGATATTCCAGCTGCGAAGTCAGACACGTCAGTGGTCGGGGCAACCTAAATTACCTATCGGTGAAGCTGGTATCAATTTTCCGGTATCCCACTTTTCTCATCCTCCTTTCCTGGGATGTACACTTATAGCATTGGCTGCCTGATCTAATTCAAGATTGGCTTCTCTTTGGAGTTTACAGTTCCATTAGTAACATTTGGTCAACCAAACACACCAAGGTGCAAGCCAAAGCCGTCCATGTAGGGTACCTCTGTTGGAAAAATGGAGATATCAGGGTCTGCAGAGTTTGAAACGCCTAGCCAAAGGGTATTGATTCCACTGGAACATTTCTATGACGGAGCTCTCTAGAGGATCTAAGAACTAAAGACGTGAGTCTCAGGGGCAGTGCTATGACGTCATGTGGCCGCAACATACTGCTGCTGCATCCATACATTTTGATTGATTGATTGATTTTTATTTCACGGATCCTCCAGAGGCAAATAGATGCCTATCGAAGGGAGTCTCCTCATACATGCAGCCAGGTCAACAGAACTTTATAACGGCAATAGTGCCTACGCATTTTGAGCTGATTTTCAAATCGATTCATACTATCATAGGCAGGATGAGCGACCCCCAGCGAGGATACATCCTATGTTAGACTGTCGATGGGTACATCCTATGTTAGACTGTGGATGGATACATGCCTGACCAGTATGTGTTTGGTCTTGGCAACAATCTCGGTATTCTGCTGAAGAATTGGCCTCATGGCCAAATAAAGAGTGAGCCCTGCGTCAAATGAAGAAGAAGCATCCATTGGAGATGGAGCTGATCTATGGGCAGCAAAGTCGGTAGCAAAGAGAAGGATGATGAGAATTCACTTAATGTAGTTATAAGCCCACTCAAATTAGGCTGCCACCTAGCCAGCATTGGCGGGAAAATAGGGCACTTTGGGTTCTCCCTAATTCGCAAACAAGTCCCTGCTCTTCGAACCACGACCACAGCCACTCGATTACATGCTCATGCATACCTTTGTTGAAAACGAGGGTTCCAGTTCCACGTTCTGATAATGCATGACTCTTGGAAAGTTGCTGGCCTACTAGCCATGAGGAATTCAAGTCTCTCATTTTGAAAACTGCAGCAAGTGACCCAGCACATTCGATGGCAAACTGTCCAATGGGATGGCAACCTGTCAAATGGGATGGCAAACTGTCAATGGCATGGCAACCTGTCAAATGGGATGGCAAACTGTCAAATGGGATGGCAAACTGTCAAATTGGATGGCAAACTGTCAGTCATGTAGGGCCAAAACCTGTCACTTTGAGCCACAACCTGTCCCTTTTTAGCCAAAACCGAGTCATTATTTGCCAAAACTGGTCACTTTTGAGCAACAACCTGTAACTTTGAGCCACTCCCTGTGACTTTGAGCCTAAACCTGTCATGGCTTTACGCCACAACCTGTTACTTTGAACGAAATTGGAAGTAAGGTCTGTCCATTTGAACATAAATCCGTCACCTTGAACCTTAACCCTTCACTATAAACTCAATTCAAGTATGTGACCAGAAATTCCACTAGAAATGTTTACAAATGATCAATTTGTGTTTTTTCAAGCCTTCTTCTACAAGCCTTATCGCTATCTTCTTTCATGTACCATTTGTTTGGCATTTTCCATCTCCCAGCTTCTGCTACTTTCACGGTTCGTTTCCAATGTTAACTTGTTTTCTGTCTATGTGTTGCTTGCTCTGTGTTGTTCACTAACATATACAGATTACTGTACTAAGCACGGCTGGCTCTCTGCAAACTGATCATTTTTGCACGGCCAGTTCCAAGCTCTGTGTTGGCTACAAGGTGTGCCGATGAGCATGTCAGCTCAGTTGTACATGAACAACGTGTGGGTTGTGTAAAGTGTGCAGATCACCAGATCACGGCTACATCTCTACAGTTACAGTGTTATTATTGACATCCTCACTCTCTTTCATTGGTGCCTGTCAATCACTCACCAATATACTTTCTCACTGCAATAACCAACGGTGAACGTTAGAGCTGGTGTGACAGGGCGTTAGACAGCCTTGAAACACCTTGTTGAACCTGTGGAGTAAGACAAGGATCCCGACACTTTCTCATCAACTGCACAGAGCTGTGATCGGCCGTTCTTTGAGCAACCTTCCCAAAGGGTTAACAGGTTCGTCACGATTGTTGTGTGCAGTTGTCAATCTCAGTGAAAGTTGACATGCATTGAACAAGTATGACATTGCCTTAGCAGTCTTGTCTTGATAATCAGCGGCGTAAATCTCTGCTGTTTGGACAATGATCACTTCTAGCTGCAGGTACCAAATAGCTAGAGAATTGTAAAGTTTTATCATGGCTACAGACTGTTGTAATGTCCGATTCTTTGCTAATTTACTCTTCATCTGTGTGTGTGTGTGTATGTGTGTGTGTGTGTGTGTATGTGTGTGTGTATGTGTGCGTGTGTGTGTGTACGTGTGTGTGTTTATTCTGTATGCTCTGTAGCCTGGCCAGAGTTCCACTACAAAAAAGCAGCAAAACAGCTCCCACATTGACTAGCAGTACTGGAACCGAACAGGTTGTAGCAATACTGGAGTGTTTCCATCAACAGCACAGCACTATCAACTATTTGGCATTTGTTTTCAGGGTAATGGTCATCTGCTATCCAACATTGAAGTAACTGTTTGATATCAACAACAACGTTCGCTGGAACAGGAATTGTCCTCTACAGATACCACCACGACTTGAATTGTCATCTACCGATACTACCACTGCCTGGTATTGTCAGCTACCACTGCTGCAACTGACCGTATCTGTTATCTACCACTGATACAATTAACTGCAGCTGTCATCTACCACTGATACAATTAACTTCAGCTGTCATCTACCACTGCTGGAAGTAGCTGCAGCTGTCATCTACCACTGATACAATTAACTGCAGCTGTCATCTACCACTGCCAGAATTAACTGCAGCTGTCATCTACCACTGCTGAAATTAACTGCAGCTGTCATCTACCACTGATACAATTAACTGCAGCTGTCATCTACCACTGCTGCAATTAACTGCAGCTGTCATCTACCACTGATACAATCGACTGCAGTCGTCATCTACCACTGCTGGAATTATCTGCAGCTGTCATCTACCACTGCTGGAATTAACTGCAGCTGTCATCTACCACTGACACAATTAACTGCAGCTGTCATCTACCACTGACACAATTAACTGCAGCTTTCATCTACCACTTATACAATTAACTGCAGCTGTCATCTACCACTGATACAATTAACTGCAGCTGTCATCTATCACTGATAGTTGCTGCTGTCATTTACCACTGATACAATTAACTGCAGCTGTCATCTACCACTGACACAATTAACTGCAGCTGTCATCTACCACTGCTGGAATTAACCGCAGCTGTCATCTACCACTGATACAATTAACTGCAGCTGTCATCTACCACTGACACAATTAACTGCAGCTGTCATCAACCACTGCAGGAATTAACTGCAGCTGTCATCTACCACTGATACAATTAACTGCAGCTGTCATCTACCACTGCTGCAATTAACTGCAGCTGTCATCTACCACTGATACAATCGACTGCAGTCGTCATCTACCACTGCTGGAATTATCTGCAGCTGTCATCTACCACTGCTGGAATTAACTGCAGCTGTCATCTACCACTGACACAATTAACTGCAGCTGTCATCTACCACTGACACAATTAACTGCAGCTGTCATCTACCACTGCTACAATTAACTGCAGCTTTCATCTACCACTTATACAATTAACTGCAGCTGTCATCTACCACTGATACAATTAACTGCAGCTGTCATCTATCACTGATAGTTGCTGCTGTCATTTACCACTGATACAATTAACTGCAGCTGTCATCTACCACTGACACAATTAACTGCAGCTGTCATCTACCACTGCTGGAATTAACCGCAGCTGTCATCTACCACTGATACAATTAACTGCAGCTGTCATCTACCACTGACACAATTAACTGCAGCTGTCATCAACCACTGCAGGAATTAACTGCAGCTGTCATCTACCACTGATACAATTAACTGCAGCTGTCATCAACCACTGCTACAATTAACTGCAGCTGTCATCTACCACTGATACAATTAACTGCAGCTGTCATCAACCACTGCTACAATTAACTGCAGCTGTCATCAACCACTGCTACAATTAACTGCAGCTGTCATCTACCAATTGATACAGTTAACTGCAGCTGTCATCTACCACTGCTGGAATTAACTGCAGCTGTCATCTACCACTGATACAATTAACTGCAGCTGTCATCTACCACTGACACAATTAACTGCAGCTGTCATCTACCAATTGATACAGTTAACTGCAGCTGTCATCTACCACTGATACAATTAACTTCAGTCGTAATCTACCACTGCTGGAATTACCTGGAGCTGTCATCTACCACGGACACATATATAGCTGCAGCTGTCATCCACCACTGACACAATTAACTGCAGCTGTCATCTACCACTGATACAATTAACTGCAGCTGTCATCTACAACTTCTACAATTGACTGGAATTGTAACCACTATTACCATTGACTTGCACTGGTATTTACTACTGCTATCACTGGAAATTCTGCCAGTTATCAGGAAAGCAGTCAAAGCTTACATTGTGTGAGGGTTGCTGGCTTGCCTTGTTGTCTCTTGGCATTTGCACCTGTGTTCTCTACATCAAAGGAAACACGTGGACACAAGGGGTTTCTGTCCAAAGGAAAGGTCAGTTCTCCATGGTTTTACACAGTGGTCTACTGTTGTCTCAATATATTTTTCCCAGAGTGGAGTCCTTGTCTAACGAGTAATTGGATTCCAGGTTTACCTGCAGGCACTATACGTACACCATTTTTAGGGGTTTCCCCTACATAGAGTAAATCAAGGTGTGGAGCGGGTCACTCTACAAAATCATGGAGGATGGACGCTGCCAAGTCCACACGGCATAATTCCTAAACCAAGTTGGACATTGTTTTGAGCTATGTGCAATCTTTGTAAGCAAGCTCTGTCGGTTTCATTACTGAGCAGTGTGTGGACGGAGGAGTGATTCTACTGTAAAGATATTTCTACAGAGATTCCTGTCCTGAAGCTTTGCTGTGCTTGCTCGTTGCCACATCTCTCTTTATTCAGCCAGAATGTTTTGTCGTTGTTTGTCTTTGGTTCATTTTTGTCTTGTTATTGTCACAGGAAACTGTCGACACTCACTTCAGAGAGTCACTGGTCAGCAGCTGTCCGCAAAAGAGACTTCCTCAGCGGAGCAACAATTATACTCTGGCTTTCCACTTTGTCAATAGGACTAAAGTCTGAAGTTGATTTGTAGTCATAACACCATCCAGCACACCCAGCCAGCAACACAAAGCCGGAACCGGATATCCAGGGTCATATACACCCTGTCCTAAGCTGCTAACACTCTACACCATAATCACGGTGTTCATCTGGTTGTCATAGTAACCTGGATATTAAAACCATTTCTACAGGATTTACTAGAGGATTTATTAAGTAGCCAGGTGAGTGTTTCAGGTTTCTGTCTGAAAATGAGAGTTGCCATGCAAAGTGATAGGTTGCTTTCGAAAGTGACAGCTTGCTAACTGAAATGACAGGTTGCTGTCCACAATGGCAGGTTACTGTCCACCGGCAATAGCAGACCTTCGTCAAAATTGGCTGGTAGATGTCCCAATTAGCAGGCCACTGCCTAAAGTGACAGGTACTATACTACAGGATGTAGAAATGTTTTTCAATCAACACTCTTAGAGATAGGGCACACCAGCCCTGTCACTACAAACAAGACCGTACTGGAACAGAATCCCTCTCTTTCCCTCTGTATCCCTCTGCATCCCTCTGTATCCCTCTGCATCCCTCTGTATCCCTCTGCATCCCTCTGTATCCCTCTGCATCCCTCTGTATCCCTCTGCATCCCTCTGTATCCCTCCGCATCCCTCTGTATCCCTCTGCATCCCTCTGTATCCCTCTGCATCCCTCTGTATCCCTCCGCATCCCTCTGTATCCCTCCCACACCCTGTTTCCCTTGCAGTCCTACTGCAAGCCACACTGATCTCACCTCAAGGCGTTCTCTCATCTTCCCACTAATGACGCTCCATCCTTACCATACATATGTACATGTAATCCCACGTTTTGACTTCCACACCCTAGTTAGCTCACCACCAGCAACCATACTCTAGAAAACACCAACACACATTTTAACTTGAATTCATTCAGCAGAATATAGCACTAGAGGAGGTGGTTGCTGCCCCACTTTGGAGCTCCCCCCGCAAGCAGAGGACACGGCGGGGATTCCATTGAACCTACTACATACCTACATGTACATGTATGTACTGGTGTGGGGGTTGAGTTCCCTTTTGGGAACGGACACGATAATTTACTTACTTTTTACTGGTGTGGGCATTGAAATCCAGTGAGAAGTCAAGCGGCCACGGGGTGCTGGCAATGCAGCTGTCAGTACTGCTTGTCCAGTTCTGCAGTGTTACAGTGCATGTACACGCTAAGCTAGTAAGGTCACCAGCCCTGGCTATTCCACCGGGTTTCTATATATATAGCAGTCACTACTACCACTACCATCAAACCTAATTGCTACCAATATGTCATATACGTATCCTAATGTTAATTTAAACATTGATCGTTCCAGCCAGGAACATTCATTTGCTCTACTTGCATTTGACCACGTTATAAACAATATCCTATTCATCCAGTTTGTCTGCAAATTTGAAATTGGTTTTCCGGCTCAACTTTGTATGTGACCTCTCTGTTCTTGTTGATGTTTTCCCAGATCTCAATCTCCACCCCTTTATCGGATTGGATTGATTATATTTATAGTGGTGACTAGAACAGACATTACTCTAATAACAATAGACCCACTCGGGTATCAAGTCATCATATCAACCTATCAGCCATCAAAGATATATTGCAGTTGATCTCAACTACAGCAAAGTACCTACGTCAGTACGCTCTCAGTTCCTATCAAGTACACCGCCTCTGCTTCAAAGTTGTCTACTTGTGTTTGGTCTTCACCTGGCTAAGTCAACACCACAACTACAAGTACAACTTGAGAGTTTTCTGCAGAGACTAGGGGAAACTTGGCAGAACAACACTATTGTCTATTGCTCAAGTCACCAAGACTAGCTGTGTGGTAGCTTCACCCATTACATACCCAAGGTTAGTTCATCCCGCTATATGGAGAAGTAACTGCTTGCAAGAGTGAAGTAGCAGTACTGCCTATGTTTACATACCCCTGACTGACACACTGCACTACTGCATTATTGTGCAATACAGTTGTGGGTGATGATAGGAGTCATACATCTTGTAGAAAACGTCATGAACATGGAGTTTGGCTTTCTTGTTGTTGTGTACCCATCCTGTTGGTCTCTCTGTAGCAGAAATTAGTGAAAAATGTCTACTGACTGTAACTATCTGCCTGCGTGTTATACTAAGTCTGTGAGCATTCACAAGGAAAGGGGGGGGGGGGTTGAAAATGGGAAAATAAGAAGAAGAAAATGTTTATCACAAGGATTTTAGCAAGGGACCCTCGCTTATGACGAGTGATGCTCTACCACTGACCTATGGTAAAGTCTGTGAACAATTCACTGGTTTCACAATGCTGTTATAATCTCTGATATTCTACTGTGTGCACTCTTGCGTAGGACACTCAACACAGGCAGGACAAGATCTGGTGACGTCATCAAACCATTCTCTCCGCTACTCCACTCACAGATCAATACTGTGGAACAGGTGACTTGCTGAACGTGCAAATTCCTCAGCTGACCGTGGCTATCGACACTTGATATATCAATTGCTGCTGCAACATCTGTCCCACCCTCGCATCAGCTGCATTCTGACTACAACCATATACGGTTATTGATCCTGAGCTGGTGACCTGGTCTCTGCCTATACAACTTGACTCCGTGCAAACAGAAAACATCCCCAGGGAGTGTTCTCGGCCATAGACACGGTGAGTTTTTCTCTATTCCCATTCCTGACATCTAGCACTGTGATGAAGTACATAGTGCTGTGAAATTGCTAGGAACTACATCCCATGACCCAACTATGCAGGATAACGAATAACAACTCTACATCCGGCCACACCACATCTACAGTGTGCAAGACCACACTTAAAAAAGTTATTGGTCTTGCCCCCCCCCCCCCTCCCCTATACACACAAGACCAGTCTGATCACTACTCCCCCCCCCCCCCCCATCCCCTATCCATACAAGACCAGTCTGATCACTACTCCCCTCCCCCATCCCTTATCCACACAAGACCAGTCTGATCACTACTCCCCCAGCCCCTATCCACACAAGACAAGTCTGATCACTACTCCCCCCCCCCCCCCCCATCCCCTATCGACACAAGACAAGTCTGATCATTACTCCCTCCCCCCCCCCCCCCTGCTATCCACACAAGACAAGTCTGATCACTACTCCCCCCACCCCATCTCCTATCCACACAAGACCAGTCTGATCACTACTCCCCCCCCCCCCTGCTATCCACACAAGACAAGTCTGATCACTACTCCCCCCCCCCCCCCCCTATCCACACAAGACAAGTCTGATCACTACTCCCCCCCCCCCCCCCATCCCCTATCCACACAAGACAAGTCTGATCACTACTCCCCCCCCCCCCCCCCATCACCTATCCACACAACACAAGACAAGTCTGATCACAACTCCCCCCCCATCCCCTATCCACACAGCACCAGTCTGATCACTACTCCCCCCCCCCTGCTATCCACACAAGACAAGTCTGATCACTACTCCCCCCCCCCCCCCATCCCCTATCCACACAAGACAAGTCTGATCACTACTCCCCCTATCCCCTATCCACACAAGACCCCCCCATTCACACAAGACAAGTCTGATCACTAATCCCCCCCCCCCCCATCCCCTACTGTAAGACATGTATATATAACGACGAAGCAAATCTAACGTTTTAACGGATGACATTTCTTCGTTATAATAAGATCCATTGAGGCCGTACTGCTTCATATATGCTGTGTGCGGATATGGCAGAATACTGCAAGATCGTTAACATATCTTCTCGTTAACCTATGAATTTTGGACAATCGTTAAATTTGCGACTCGTTATAATAACATGTCTTACAGTATCCGCACAAGACAAGTCTGATCACTACTCCCCCCACCCTACCCCCACCCCCATCCCCTATCCACACAAGACAAATATGATCACTACTCCCCCCCCCCCCTCCATCAGTCCCCTATCCACACAAGACAAGTCTTATCACTACTCCCCCACACCCCATCCCCTATCCACACAAGACAAGTCTGATCACTACCCCCCCCCCCCCCCCCCCACACCCCATCTGCTATCCACACAAGACAAGTCTGATCACTACTCCCCCCCATCCCCTATCCACACAAGACAAGTCTGATCACTAATCCCTCCCCCCCCCCCATCCCCTATCCACACAAGACAAGTCTGATCCCTTCCCCCCCCCCCCCACATCCCCTATCCATACAAGACAAGTCTGATCACTACTCCCCCCCCCCCATCCCCTATCCACACATTACAAGTCTGATCACTACTCCCCCCCCCCCCACATCCCCTATCCACACAAGACCAGTCTGATCACTACTCCCACCCCCCTGCTATCCACACAAGACAAGTCTGATCACTACTCCCCCCACACCCAATCTCCTAACCACACAAGACCAGTCTGATCACTACTCCCCCACCCCTCCCCCCCCCCATCCCCTATCCACACAAGAAAAGTCTGATCACTACTCCCCCCCCCCCATCCCCTTTTCACACAAGACAAGTCTGATCACAATTCCCCCCCCCCCCCATCCCCTATCCACACAAGACAAGTCTGATCACTACTCCCCCCCCCCCCCCTCCCCCATCCCCTATCCACACAAGACAAGTCTGATCACTACTCTCCCCCCCCCCCCCCCCCCCCCCCATCCCCTATCCACACAAGACAAGTCTGATCACTACTCCCCCCACACCCCATCTCCTATCCACACAAGACCAGTCTGATCACTACTCCCCCACCCCTCCACCCCCCATCCCCCATCCACACAAGACAAGTCTGATCCTTACCCCCCCCCCCCCCCCATCACCTATCCACACAAGACAAGTCTGATCCTTACCCCGCCCCCCCCCCCCCCCATCCCCTATCCACACAAGACAAGTCTGATCACTACTCCCCCCCCCCCCATCCCCTATCCACACAAGACAAGTCTGCTCACTACTCCCCCCCCCCCCCCCCGCCCCCTATCCACACAAGACCAGTCTGATCACTACTCCCCCACCCCCCCACCCCCCGCCATCCCCTACCCACACAAGACCAGTCTGATCACTACTCCCTCCCCCCCCCCCCCCCAAATCCCCTATCCACACAGGACCAGTCTGATCACTACTCCCCCCTGCTATAGACAAGTCTGATCACTACTCCCCCCCCCCCATCTCCTATCCCCTATCCACACAAGACCAGTCTGATCACTACTCCCCCACCCACCCCCCCCCCATACCCTACCCACACAAGACCAGTCTGATCATTACTCCTTCCCCCCCCCCCCCCATCCCCTATCCACACAAGACAAGCCTGATCCCTTCCCCCACCCCCCCCCCCACCCCCCCCCATCTCCTATCCACACAGTACCAGTCTGATCACCACTCCCCCCCCCCCCCCCCCCTGCTTTCCACACAAGACCAGTCTGATCACTACTCCCCCCCCGCCATCCCCTATCCACACAAGACAAGTCTGATCACTACTCCCCCCCCCCATCAGTCCCCTATCCACACAAGACAAGTCTAATCACTACTCCCTCCCCATCCCCTATCCACACAAGACAAGTCTGATCACTACTCCCTCCCCCCCCCATCCCCTATCCACACAAGACAAGTCTGATCCCTCCCCCCCCCCCCCCCACATCCCCAATCCACACAAGACAAGTCTGATCACTACTCCCCCCCCCCCCATCCCCTATCCACACAAGACAAGTCTGATCACTACTCCCCCCCCCCCCATCCCCTATCCACACAAGACACGTGTGATCACTACTCCCCCCACACCCCATCTCCTATCCACACAAGACAAGTCTGATCCTTACCCCCCCCCCCCCCCCCATCTCCTATCCACACAAGACAAGTCTGCTCATTACTCCCCCCCCCCCCCCTATCCACACAAGACCAGTCTGATCACTACTCCCCCACCCCCCCCCCCCCCTATCCACACAAGACAAGTCTGATCCCTTCCCCTACCCCCCCCCCCCCCACATCCCCTATCCACACAAGACAAGTCTGATCACTACTCCCCCCCCCCATCCCCTATCCCCTATCCACACAAGACCAGTCTGATCACTACTCCCCCCCCCCCATCCCCTATCCACACAAGACAAGCCGTATCCCTTCCCCCATGCCCCCCCCCCATCCCCTATCCACACAGGACCAGTCTGATCACTACTCCCCCCTGCTATCCACACAAGAAAAGTCTGATCACTACTCCCCCCCCCCCCATTCCCCTATCCACACAAGACAAGTGTGATCACTACCCCCCCCCCCCCACACCAAATCTCCTATCCACACAAGACCAGTCTGATCACTACTCCCCCACCCCTCCCCCCCCCATCCCCCATCCACACAAGACAAGTCTGATCCTTACCCCCCCCCCCATCACCTATCCACACAAGACAAGTCTGATCCTTACCCCCCCCCCCCCCCATCCCCTATCCACACAAGACAAGCCTGCTCACTACTCCCCTCCACCCCCCCCCCCATCCACACAAGACAAGTCTGATCACTACTCCCCCCCCCCCCCCATCCCCTATCCGCACAAGACAACTCTGATCACTACTCCCCCCCCCCCCCCCATCCCCTATCCACACAAGACAAGTCTGATCACTACTCCCCTTCCCCCCCCCCCCCATCCCCCATCCACACAAGACAAGTCTGATCACTACTCCCCCCCCCTATCCCCTATCCACACAAGACCCCCCCATTCACACAAGACAAGTCTGATCACTAATCCCCCCCCCCCCCATCCCCTACTGTAAGACATGTATATATAACGAGGAAGCAAATCTAACGTTTTAACGGATGACATTTCTTCGTTATAATAAGATCCATTGAGGCCGTACTGCTTCATATATGCTGTGTGCGGATATGGCAGAATACTGCAAGATCGTTAACATATCTTCTCGTTAACCTATGAATTTTGGACAATCGTTAAATTTGCGACTCGTTATAATAACATGTCTTACAGTATCCGCACAAGACAAGTCTGATCACTACTCCCCCCACCCTACCCCCACCCCCATCCCCTATCCACACAAGACAAATATGATCACTACTCCCCCCCCCCCTCCATCAGTCCCCTATCCACACAAGACAAGTCTGATCACTACCCCCCCCCCCCCCCACACCCCATCTGCTATCCACACAAGACAAGTCTGATCACTACTCCCCCCCATCCCCTATCCACACAAGACAAGTCTGATCACTAATCCCTCCCCCCCCCCCCCATCCCCTATCCACACAAGACAAGTCTGATCCCTTCCCCCCCCCCCCCCCCCCACATCCCCTATCCATACAAGACAAGTCTGATCACTACTCCCCCCCCCCCCATCCCCTATCCACACATTACAAGTCTGATCACTACTCCCCCCCCCCCCCCCCCCACATCCCCTATCCACACAAGACCAGTCTGATCACTACTCCCACCACCCTGCTATCCACACAAGACAAGTCTGATCACTACTCCCCCCACACCCAATCTCCTAACCACACAAGACCAGTCTGATCACTACTCCCCCACCCCTCCCCCCCCCCCATCCCCTATCCACACAAGAAAAGTCTGATCACTACTCCCCCCCCCCCCATCCCCTTTTCACACAAGACAAGTCTGATCACAATTCCCCCCCCCCCCCATCCCCTATCCACACAAGACAAGTCTGATCACTACTCTCCCCCCCCCTCCCCCATCCCCTATCCACACAAGACAAGTCTGATCACTACTCTCCCCCCCCCCCCCATCCCCTATCCACACAAGACAAGTCTGATCACTACTCCCCCCACACCCCATCTCCTATCCACACAAGACCAGTCTGATCACTACTCCCCCACCCCTCCACCCCCCATCCCCCATCCACACAAGACAAGTCTGATCCTTACCCCCCCCCATCACCTATCCACACAAGACAAGTCTGATCCTTACCCCCCCCCCCCCCCCCAATCCCCTATCCACACAAGACAAGTCTGATCACTACTCCCTCCACACCCCATCTCCTATCCACACAAGACAAGTCTGCTCACTACTCCCCCCCCCCCCCCGCCCCCTATCCACACAAGACCAGTCTGATCACTACTCCCCCACCCCCCCCCCCCCGCCATCCCCTACCCACACAAGACCAGTCTGATCACTACTCCCTCCCCCCCCCCCAAATCCCCTATCCACACAGGACCAGTCTGATCACTACTCCCCCCTGCTATCCACACAAGACAAGTCTGATCACTACTCCCCCCCCCCCCATCCCCTATCCCCTATCCACACAAGACCAGTCTGATCACTACTCCCCCACCCACCCCCCCCCCCCCCATACCCTACCCACACAAGACCAGTCTGATCATTACTCCTTCCCCCCCCCCATCCCCTATCCACACAAGACAAGCCTGATCCCTTCCCCCACCCCCCCCCCCCCCACCCCATCTCCTATCCACACAGTACCAGTCTGATCACCACTCCCCCCCCTGCTATCCACACAAGACCAGTCTGATCACTACTCCCCCCCCCCATCCCCTATCCACACAAGACAAGTCTGATCACTACTCCCCCCCCCCCCCCCCCCCATCAGTCCCCTATCCACACAAGACAAGTCTGATCACTACTCCCCCCACACCCCATCTGCTATCCACACAAGACAAGTCTAATCACTACTCCCTCCCCATCCCCTATCCACACAAGACAAGTCTGATCACTACTCCCTCCCCCCCCCCCCCATCCCCTATCCACACAAGACAAGTCTGATCCCTCCCCCCCCCCCACATCCCCTATCCACACAAGACAAGTCTGATCACTACTCCCCCCCCCCCCCATCCCCTATCCACACAAGACAAGTCTGATCACTACTCTCCCCCCCCCCCCCATCCCCTATCCACACAAGACACGTGTGATCACTACTCCCCCCACACCCCATCTCCTATCCACACAAGACAAGTCTGATCACTACTCCCCCCCCCCCCCCCCCATCCCCTATCCACACACGACAAGTCTGATCACTACTCCCCCCCCCCCCCATCCCCTATCCACACAAGACAAGTCTGATCACTACTCTCCCCCCCCCCCCCATCCCCTATCCACACAAGACACGTGTGATCACTACTCCCCCCACACCCCATCTCCTATCCACCCAAGACAAGTCTGATCCTTACCCCCCCCCCATCCCCTTATCCACACAAGACAAGTCTGATCCCTCCCCCCCCCCCCCCCCCACATCCCCTATCCACACAAGACAAGTCTGATCACTACTCCCCCCCCCCCCCATCCCCTATCCACACAAGACAAGTCTGATCACTACTCCCCCCCCCCCATCCCCTATCCACACAAGACAAGTCTGATCCTTACCCCCCCCCCCCATCCCCTATCCACACAAGACAAGTCTGATCCCTTCCCCTACCCCCCCCCCCCCCACATCCCCTATCCACACAAGACAAGTCTGATCACTACTCCCCCCCCCCCCCCCCATCCCCTATCCCCTATCCACACAAGACCAGTCTGATCACTACTCCCCCCCCCCCCCCATCCCCTACCCACACAAGACCAGTTTGATCATTACTCCCCCCCCCCCCCCCATCCCCTATCCACACAAGACAAGCCGTATCCCTTCCCCCATGCCCCCCCCCCCATCCCCTATCCACACAAGACAAGTGTGATCACTACCCCCCCCCCCCCCCACACCCCATCTCCTATCCACACAAGACCAGTCTGATCACTACTCCCCCACCCCTTCCCCCCCATCCCCTATCCACACAAGACAAGCCTGCTCACTACTCCCCTCCACCCCCCCCCCCCATCCACACAAGACAAGTCTGATCACTACTCCCCCCCCCCATCCCCTATCCGCACAAGACAACTCTGATCACTACTCCCCCCCCCCCCCATCAGTCCCCTATCCACACAAGACAAGTCTGATCACTACTCCCCCCCCCCCCATCCCCTATCCACACAAGACAAGTCTGATCACTACTCCCCCCCCCCACCCCCCCATCCCCTATCCACACAAGACAAGTCTGATCACTACTCCCCCCCCCCCCCCTGCTATCCACACAAGACAAGTCTGGTCACTACTCCCTCCTCCCCCCCCCCCCCAATCCCCTATCCACACAAGACAAGTCCGATCCCTCCCCCCCCCCCCCCCACATCCCCTATCCACACAAGGCAAGTCTGATCACTACTCCCCCCCCCCCCCCCCATCCCCTATCCACACATGACAAGTCTGATCACTACCCCCTCCCCCCCCCCCCCATCCCCTATCCACACAAGACAAGTCTGATCATTATCCCCCCCCCCCCCATCCCCTATCCACACAAGACAAGTCTGATCACTACTCTCCCCCCCCCCCCCCCCCATCACCTAACCACACAAGCCGAGTTCGATCACTACTCTCCCCCCCCCCCTTCTCTCTTCATACTAGAGAATTCTGATCACTATTCCACCCTTCTCCCCCCCCCTCCCACACCCCTTTCCTCACAAAACACTTCCCATAACTATGAACCCTCCTCCCCTACCCCTCTTCACACAATTCCCATCACTATGCCCCCCCCCCCCCTCTCCCGTCTCACCACCATTGTGATTCACTCATACTGCTTTAGTCATCTTCATGGGATGTAGTTCTGAAAATCCTGCAACTTTAGTTAACATAGCATTTTGTCTGTCGGACCCTTGTGTTGCTACTATCATTGGTGCATCACAACTTTACCCACTAACGGTGCATTCAGATGGGCTGATTTGGCGGTTTGGCGGAATAAACAGCGGGAAAAGACGAGAGGCATTCAGATGCTCTCTCCATTCGCACCAGCGATTTGTAGACATTGGGTTGTGGGGTTAAAGGTTTCGAACTTTCAACACATTCGTTCGGTTGGAGAGAGACGAGTTAATCAAAGGGGATGTATGGTCTAGAATCAAAATTTTACTACTCGTATTCTTCAGGGCGGTGAGTCGAATGGTCTTGGTCCGAGGATGCTGAGACACTCATTTTGTCCCAGATTGCTCAACCAAAACAGGGTTACTGAACCATACTAGATGGGGATTTATACGCAAAACGTCACTAAAAGCTCCATTTCGTTCTAATAAAAGGACGGATGAACGAGATTGGCCCATATGTTGTAGTCTTTTGGATGCTGAATGGACTGATTTTGGTCCTTGAAGGCTGCGATGCAGCGCATTCACCCCTTATTCCCAATCGAACACGGTTGAGTAAGCGATCACATTCTGATGCAAACACCAGTCACCTGGTTACTGTGCATGCAGGCTAAAACTTGCAAATAAAAGCTCAACTAGAGTGACAGGAACGCGCACTAGTAGGCTGTTACTTGTAGCCTGCAGGAACAGTGACCAAGTCATTGCTGTACGCATCAGCTCGTGGCCGCTTACTCAACCGTGTTTGATCAGGAATAAGGGCCGAACGCTGCACTGTAGCCTCCTCACACCACAACCACTCGACTCAGCGTCCAAAACACAACAACAGAGAGGTCAACCTCATTCATCCGTGATTTTAAAAGAACAATTTGGCACTTTTAGTGACGTTTTGTATAGAAATCTCCATCTAGAGTTCAGTCGCCCAGTTTCAGTGGAAGTGGCGAGTTCGATTGGGCAATCTGGGATGAAGGAAGCATCTCAGCTTCCTCGTACCAAGACCATTTGACTCAGCGCCCTGAAGACTACGAGTAGTAAAATTTTGATTCCCGGCAATGCAAACCCTATCAAACTATAGTTTTTTGCAGCATTCTGAGGTTGCGGAATCCTGCTGAACCGTGCAAAACCTTTGAAATATTTTCAACAGGCAGTGTGCTCGGAAAACCCTCCTCCCCTGTTCATTCTGTTCCCTGACGGCTCCCAATTTTTCTTGCGTTGCCGGTGCAGGATCAGAAGACTACACGGACACTTCTTGGTAGCTGCGCATAGCCGGCACACTACATATCTGACGAGAACAAGAAGCAAGGCAGTACAGATGCCAGAGCAGACACAACAAACTTTGCATGTAACACAATACACCAACTTTTGTCTTCGAGCAAGTATTAGCAGTTGGCCGTTCACACTCGGGAAACCTTTTCTTGCGGGAATGGCTGCGTATGGGAAAGATTTAGCGATCGAGATCAAAGGAAATGTCACATGAGCCATGAAATCAAGGAAAATTGTCCGAGAATGCAACTTTTCACGCCTGTCTGAATGCACCCAAAAGAAAAATTATATTCCCATAATCAACACTGAACGTCATTTTGGCAAGAAATACATAATTTGAGTTGGCCTCCAGAATAGGCCACTTCATCACAGAATCGGTATTCAGAGATCCTCAGACGATTGCTTCAGTGCTCCTGATTCCTGATGAGATACATTTTATTCTTGTACAACATATCTTCTTTCCATGGTTGGTGTAGCCCTAGTCTTTATGAATGCTTATACTATACTAAGGAGGTATTGCCATTCTAAATCTATCCTTTCTCCTTTTCTCTTTGTTCTTTCCGAATTGTCCACAGATTCTGAACTAAAGTGTCAGTGCCATTGCCGCGTCATCTCCATCTTTGACCTCATCTACCTGCAACACACCAACTAGTAAAGGTCTGGTTAGTCAATCAACTTCGCCTAGTACAGCCCTTGCCGAAGTCAACAACCGACACCAGCCTGATCATCCCCAGCCTCAGCAATGAAGACCAACCAGGCACTCGCACTCAAAGACCTCGAGGAACGGCTAAGAAATGAACTTCAACATAACGTCCCTGATATCATGGATCACCTGGAGAGCGATCACAACTTGCTGCAGCACACGAGTTATGAGTTTGCCAAAATCACACACCGCATGTTGACTGGCCATGAACAGATCAGTTTGCTTATCGGTTATTTCCTGACTCTGGCAGGTCAGAAGGGAAAGAAGGTGTTCGCAATGTTTTGCAATGTTCTACGTCAGATCAACTTTGAGCAGCTTGCCAAGGAGCTGGAAAGCAAGGAAGAAATATACGATCAAGGAACTTTGTCCAGCCAATCCAGTGGTGACATGGAGTTCCACGGATGGGAGTGTAAACGCTCTGCTCCATTCCTACCAGAAACCTTCCCATCGCCATCTACTGGATTACAACAAGCAGCCACCAATGCAGCCACTGCCAGTGTACAGAAGAGCCAAACAACAACTCAACAACAACAACAACAACAACCGCAGGCTGATGTTGAACCATTGCTAGCACACTACCGTAAGCGTCTTCTTCAACTTTGTCGAATCGAGAGCAAGAGGACTGCTCTACCAGGAATTGGTACCCGGCGTGAAGGACAGACTGATGTTCGCAGTTTCTACACTAGCGTGCAGGCCTTGACACTGGAGCAAGCTGAACAACGACTGAATGAAAAGGGTGGAAAAACAGAGAGATGCAGCATGACAACGAGATCAATACCAATACGTCGAGCATCACAACTTCTGCAACGTAAACTAGGTGAGCGTGTGCCATCACGTTATGATAACGACCGCAGATCACTTGTTGAAAGCAGCATGCTTGTTTCTCCAGCTGGCAGCGGGAAAAGCACAGTGTGTAAGATGCTTTTGTCTGACCACTACCATAACAACACTGACAGCAGCAGCAGCAGCAGCAGTGCTATACCTTCTTGCACTGCTGTTGACAGCGGTGTATACACCAGTGCTACTGATCCTGATTCCACACGCCAAGCTAACACTACAACCAGCAAGGATGTAACTGCTACCAACAGTGGTAACGCCTCCACCATGACAGGCAGTCTTAGCACCTCTTCCAACACAACCAGCAGCAGCACCGACACTATCACCAGCAGCAGCACCAGCAGCAGCGTCGACACTATCACCAGCAGCACCACCAGCAGCAGCAGCACCGACACTATCACCAGCAGCACCACCAGCAGCAGCAGCACCACCAGCAGCAGCAGCAGCACCGACACTATCACCAGCAGCAGCACCACCAGCGGCAGCAGCAGTACATGTGTTAGCAGCAACGAAAACAGTGCAAAGGGCAAAATTGATGATGGCAAAAGTAGTGGAAGCAGAGATGGGGCCAACATTGAAAAAAGTCGTGGGAGCAGCACTGAGAGCAGCGGTGGGAGAAGTCGGAGACAACATGCCGAAAAGGAGAGGGAGTTAAGAAGAGATGCAGTGCTGTCCAATTTCAACTATGTCGTACATCTACCTTGCCGTGATGTGGATAGAGTCTGCAGTTACAATTGGTCTACTCTACTTGGCCTGGATGAGCAATGTCTGCATCTAGACACACACCAGCAAGACCAAATGATCGAGTACCTAGAGGATCAATCACAACAAGTCCTGTTCATTGTCGATGGATTGGACGAAATTGGTAAAGATGTGCTCGAGAAACGATCAGCTCTCTCTGCTCTCGTCCATCGTGAGCGGTTTGCTGACTCCCGAATCTTGTTGACAAGCCGTCCTTGTCAGCTAGCATCCACGCTTGCAAAAGAATGTGAAGAACACTATTGGCTGGCTGGATTTAACGATCATCAACTCGAACGCTACTGCCTTCGTAATCTTGGTGAAGATCTGGGCCAGTCTTGTTGGGAGGAGCTATGCGAGGTTAGCTTAGGCCACGTCAAAGAAGCACTGAAGTCCTCCCCATTGCTATGTGCAATGCTCTGTGAGCTCTACCGAAGTCGTCAGAATGTACCGAGGTGTGCAACCATGATGTACTCCGGCTTTGTCAAGCAAGCTGCAAACCTGCGTGGCTGGCAGTTGCAAGATGATGGAGTCAGCCTTGAGAGTTCCACACTGAGTAACAGCTTGGCTCGTGCCACAACAACAGAGGAGGACCAAGAGAAATATTCTGCTCCACTGTGGACAACTCAAAGCAGTCAACCCCATTACTGTGTACCAGCATCAACTGATACAGCCCACACCGCAGCTGTCAGTGGAGATACTGTACTAATACAACGTAGCAGTGATACGGAGCAATCACATCAATGTATGAGCAAACGTGCACAGAACGAGCTTGGTCGTGTAGCTCTCATGTACTTGAATAGAAAGCAAGTACTGATCCCTACAAGTGCCTTGTCCAGTGAGTGCAGGAATGCAGCTTGCTCTATTGGTCTCCTTGTTGAGTGTAACACAGGTATTGGCAATGTACTACGTTCACAGGCAAAACCATGTGTCTACTTCGTACACTACTCACTACAGGAGTACTTTGCAGCACAGTACTTGTGTGCAGATCCTGAGCATGCTCAAGCTGTGAAAGAATGTGCACAAGATGGTTATGGTGTTGGTGAGGAGACAGCACCATTCTGGGCATTTGTTTGTGGTACTGCAACTAGCAAGCAACTAGCGGAGATCATCAGTATACTAAAATCAGCAATGTTAGAACATGGCCGGACTGTTGCCAACGCTACTCGTTCTCTCCTGTCCTACTTCATGGAGCATGTCAACACCAGACCAACCCTCGAGGAACAAGCAATATTTGGTTTTGGCACAAGTGAGGAGACCAGTTACCTCTCCAAGGCAGTGGATAGCATTGCTGCTGATGGACTAAGACTGAATAACGTCCGACTTGGAATGAGTGATGTACTGGCTCTACAGTGTGTACATGATCATGCAACTACTATCAAGCTACTGGATCTCACAGGTTGCAACCTCACAGCAGAGAAGTGCAACATACTCACACTGACCAAGGCTGAACACCTACAACTGCGGGCGACTCCATGCAGTGCCAGTCTGGTGGAAATGGCAGCAAGATCTCTATCTTGTCCAGGCAGCAAAGTGAGAAACCTTCAGCTTGACATGTGTGATCTATCAGCATGTACCTATCCAGCTCTGCTGGCATGTGTGCAAGCTAAGAATCTCCAGAGATTAGTCTTATTTTCCAATAAGGAACTTGGAAATGGCTTTCTGGAGTATCTACAACAGACACTCTACAGTGATTGTCAGCTTAAACACCTTAATCTGCACCATGTTGGTCTGACAGCTGGTTGTGGAAGTCAATTGGCTGCACTCATCACCAAACTGTCACAGCTTCAGCGACTGGATATGAGTGGCAATAACCTCAGCAACTCAGACGTGGAGCAAGTTCTGGCCGCTTTGAATACCAATGTAATTGGGATAGTCTGGGTCCAGGGCAGTGACCTGGATGATGGTATCGTTCCAGCTATCTGTGAGTTCTATCAGAGAAAGAACGGAAAGCTGCAGGAGCGGCATTCATCAACTAGCACCTCTCAAGCAGTTCAGAATGGCCACACATGTGAAGTACAGTTACAAGGCTGTAATGTGACCCGAGAAGGCCTGGAAACCATAGCAACAGCACAGTGCTTATCCCGTGGTGATCAGGTGCTCACTGGTCTACACTTTGTAAACAGTGATGGTGTAAGGGAACGGGATCTGCGGCAAAGGTTGCTCCAGAACCATGGCGATCTCTGCATGGAATACATTGGTGATAGTGGCGCACAGCAGATTGCTCCAGCTATTGGCTATAATGGCAGCGATCACTATATGTACTACATAGCCCATCAAACCATCCAGAAAGTCATCCCAGTCATGGCTATCAACACAACTATGGAGAAACTAGATCTCCGGTACTGCAACATAACCAGCACTGGTGCAGAGGTGATTGCAGAACAAGGCCTGGCGCACAACAACACGCTCCGAGTGGTCGGGTTATCGTACAACAACATTGGACTGCATGGATTGTGCTCATTACTCAGAGCATGTCGTCAACGCACTGCATCATCTCCACTGGCATTGGATATGTCAGATAACAACATATTTCCTGCATATCAACAACTGCCACCGCTACAACAGCAACAACAGCCACAACAGCAGCAGCAAGCTGATGTTATCCGTCCAGTCACCAGTCTACTGTCACAGTGCACAGGGATTGTTTTTCTCGCACTTTCAGGCACAGGACTGGATGATGACACTGGAGCTGAGTTCATCACATCTCTACGCAGTAATCAGTCTATCACGTGGCTCACACTTGTCCGAAATTCCTTGAGTGATCGCAGTGCTGGTGCACTGTGTGTTGCTATGGAGACCAACACCACACTGAAAACCATCTCACTGTACAAGAACAACGTGACAGATGATGGAGTGAAGCAGCTCATCAGCTCGCCTGGTATACAACGTATGCATTCTGTAGCACTGGGTGGCAATCCATGTCAGACAGAGCAGTTAAGAATGCCGCTGTTTGACGGTAGGATCTCATATGTCCTAAGTAGTCTTCTGGAACTCACGAAGCGACCTGATTGAACAGCTGGAGCAATATGACAGTGAGTGTTTTCAGTCACATGATCAATATTCTGCTGGCCATAGACTCTTCCTGTTTGCTATTCTCATAATGACCATTTCATGGAGCAGCCTTGAAACTGGAAATAGCTGCTACACTTGAATAGACGGAATGCATGATAGTACCCATAGTGTTTGAGTTACCTGAGAGAGACAACTACAGTTGAAATCTATACTTTTTCTCATATCAGCAATGTTTAGTGAGAGCTACCATAGTTGGTTTAGATCACTTGTTAGACATTTCTTCAGTACAATCTTCACAACACACACTTCGTTCCCAAAACATGTAGAGATTACAAAGCAAGAAGCAACATATCCACCAGCAACATTTATATTCTCACCAGTAATTCTGTGTTGCCGTGTAATGCAACATACCCAGCAACTCCACTGTAACCATGGTGACAGCTATGTTACAGAATATCCACTCACAGAGCATGGATAGTGTTGTCCTTTTCTTGCACCCTTCCTCCCCTTCCATTTCCGTCATTGAATTATGCTAGTTTTGGATGAATTCTCTAAAAGAAGATCATGTTTCTAGAGGTAATCTCCTAGTGTGTTGCAGTGCTGCATGGGAGGAGGTAGCTGGAGCAAAGGAAGGGAGGGGAGGGAGATGGGCAGGGGAGAGTGACAGGGAGGGGAGCGGAGGGGAATGATACGGGGACGGGAGGGAGACGGGTAGGGGAGCAGAGGAAAAGGGGACGGAGGGGAGACAGAGCGGAAGGGAGTGAGACTAGGAGGGCAGGAAGAGCTTTGGAAGAATAGCGGAGTGAAGGTTTCGGACTCGGCAGGCTTGTTACAGGCACCCGAGGTGTTCCGCAGGGTTCAGTCCTGGGTGCGCTGCTCTCCAGCTCTACACCTGAGACATACAGACTAGCTGTTACCTCCCCGACAATGTCAATCCAGTTTGCAGACGATATAGCCTTGACTTCCAGACGCCGCAGCGCTGACCTCGTCTCGTCTGAGCTCACAACAGCAGTCTGTAGCCTAGCTCGCTGGCTAGCCTCCAGTGGTCTAATCCTCAACGCCGCCACGAGTCAGCTGCTTGTCTTTGCAGGATCAGATGGCTTCTAATGGGAGGGGGCAATGGTAGACGATAATGCATAGTGGAAGCTTTGCAAGGATGAATTGTAAGAGCATCCCTTTTTTTTGAAAATCGATTTTCACGTTGCGATCATCAGTGGAAATACGCAACTAAAGAGATCAAGGGAAAAACAAAGGTTAAAAATCCAAAGAAGTGTGACACATGACGGGTAACTTGTGGTAAGTATTACAAAAAGTGAGAACTAAAATAAAGAGTAAGTGTGACAAACGGGCATGAACAGTGCAGAAACAACTCATGAACACGGGGTGCAAACTCACGAAAATAACCTAAGTGCTAAAACATGTTCTTTTTGCTTACACAAATCGGGCTTATGCGTACGAATACAAACAGCTTCAAGGACCTTCAACTGCTGGACATAACGGGCACGACACAGTACAGAGAAGTGGGAATCATCATACACACTCAAACAATCGGGACGAGATAACAAATGCAAATACACAGCTGACTTCTTACGAATTTCACCCTCATCAGCTCCATCACCTTCCCTGCCACCTGACTCCTCCTCGTCCGTTTTATCACCATCACCACCAGCCGTCTCACCGTCATCCGCCTCGTCTTCATCCGCCGCCTCGTCATCACCCGCCTCGTCGTCATCTGTATCCTCGCCGTCATCCGCCTCGCCGTCATCTGTATTCTCGTCATCCGCCGCATCATCACCCAACTCATATTCACCACCAGTCAGTCGTCTGATACCATCCATGTTCTCCTTCCTACGTCTGTCCCCTTCTCTGTACTGTGTCGTGCCCGTTATGTCCAGCAGTTGAAGGTCCTTGAAGCTGTTTGTATTCGTACGCATAAGCCCGATTTGTGTAAGCAAAAAGAACATGTTTTAGCACTTAGGTTATTTTCGTGAGTTTGCACCCCGTGTTCATGAGTTGTTTCTGCACTGTTCATGCCCGTTTGTCACACTTACTCTTTATTTTAGTTCTCACTTTTTGTAATACTTACCACAAGTTACCCGTCATGTGTCACACTTCTTTGGATTTTTAACCTTTGTTTTTCCCTTGATCTCTTTAGTTGCGTATTTCCACTGATGATCGCAACGTGAAAATCGATTTTGGAAACACACAAAACCAAACCTTTTTTTTTGATTTATACAATTGAGTGCAGTAGCAGTTCAACTTCCCACCTGGCTCCTTCATTCAACTGGACATAATCATGTATAGTGTAGTGATGCATGCCAAAAAAACCTCTTTTTGCATAGCTATATGAAGCTACTTGTACACATCATGTGACTCTGACCAAGACACAGTTTGGCAAGAGAACATACATTATACATCAGTACATGTACACATACTCTGACCAAGGCACAGTTTGGCAAGAGAACGTACATTGTACATCAGTGCATGTACAGTAAAATAATTTAGTATAATAGTAGATTGGATACACTGCGGAATACCATCTTCAAAGTACTAATTTTGCAGGACCCTGCATTACACTATACCCGGTCAATAATTTAACCTTGGATACACTGTACTTTGAATATAACAGGAGAGGAGGAACCGCAGCGGCACGTGCGAGAAAAGACGCACCGATAAAGATTTTGTCTGGAGAACTTTAAAGCGGTAAAACATGGGCTGTTTGGATCCATTCATAGACAAGTTGCTCGCTCACCACATCGGAGCTCGCGTTTTTTCACCGACTTAAGTCGACACTTGACTCATGATAGCCATCCAGAGCACACGGGAAATCAATCGAACCTTTGACTCGACGTTTCTGCAAGAAGGCACAACTCACTGCTCAATGCACAGTGTTTCGGGGCATTCACCCCTCATCAGTAGGGCTTGAGTTTGAGAAGTTTCAATGGCCTTCCAGTGTGCTCTGGATAGCAGTCGTGAGTCAGTCAAGTGACTCCAGTGTCAAGGCAATTAATTCACCAGGAAAACACAAGTTCCGGTCTGGGGAGCGAATAAGTTTCCTATAAAATCATCGCCGCAGTCTCTACCACTATCTTGCATTGTTGGGCTCATTTCCTCAATTTTTTCCCAGAGAGCCCCTGTCCCCCCCCCCCCCCTCCTCATGCCCACAACAATGTCGAGTACCATCCAACATCCCCTGCACGTGTATAGGGTTTTACAGTGCTTGATGGTACATGATGAGTGTAGTTCAGAGTTCAGACTTAGTACGTGTACTGCAGTCACTGCATGTACACTGCATATACACTGCACGTACACTGCATGTACACTGCATGTACACTGCATATACACTGCATGTACACTGCATATACACTGCACGTACACTGCATGTACACTGCATGTACACTGCATATACACTGCATATACACTGCATATACACTGCACGTACACTGCACGTACACTGCATGTACACTGCATATACACTGCATATACACTGCATATACACTGCATGTACACTGCATATACACTGCATATACACTGCATATACACTGCATATACACTGCATATACACTGCATATACACTGCATGTACACTGCATATACACTGCATATACACTGCATATACACTGCATATACACTGCATATACACTGCACGTACACTGCATATACACTGCATGTACACTGCATATACACTGCATATACACTGCATATACACTGCATGTACACTGCATATACACTGCATATACACTGCATATACACTGCATGTACACTGCATGTACATGTGCATGTACACTGGATGATTTACATGTACATGTGCAGTAAAAACTGTCTAAGGCCACATCTGAAGGTGCCTTCAAAATGTGGTCGCTGTGTACAGGTGGTCTCCGTATCCATGGTCATTGGAAGAAACATCACTAAGTCCTGACCGTAGCTGTAGTGGTCCTCTGAGGCAGGTGGTCGCCTTATAAGAGTGGTCACCTTGCCAGTTTACTGTACATGAAGACTACCGGTAGTCAAGTTTAGTTAGTACTAGCATTGCCTATGCAAGAAGAGCAAGTGTCTGCATGCCATCCCTAATAAGTCAGTACAGTCATGCTGGCCCAGTACATGTACCATTGGATACAGTACACGTACGAGATGTACGGCATCTTACCTATGCAAACAGGGACATGTATCCTGCAAGTCGACATGCTCCGGAAAATATGTCCAAAATCGTATGCACGTCCATTGACATTCCAATGTCTCAGCGGCAATGTTTCCAGTGACAGTACCTCAACCAGTATAATAATAATAATACTAATATGCTAGGCAACCGTAAAAGCCGGTTACACGCCAGCAGGCACCTTGGGTCTCATAACGTGTTCTCCTAACCTAGCTGAGCAGACTAACTTTATGCCATTGTATTCAGTAACACTGTGGGCACTTCAACCGTCAGGCGAAATAGCACGTCATAGTACATTTGAGATCAGCGGGAAGAAGATGACGACGTCCACTAATTTAGTATCTGTGCACACGAATCTGCTGTGTGTGTGACTCTGTGTGTCAGCTATGATAATTATCATCTTCTGTGGTTCCATGCCTAGCATCAAGAGTACATAACCCCCCAGAGTGTGCAACGCCGATCCAGCTCTGTGTAGGGTCTTGCCCCTTGGTCGAGCGGTCTCGGATCTTCTGATGTCATGCGTACACTTCACACCCGCGCAAGGCCGGTCTCGAGGCAGGGCACCATTGTTTTTGATCCAAGAGTACCCGCGACTCCCCGGGTTCCCCTCAGATGTGTACGGTATTATGACGCAAAGATCCGATTCCGCTCGACCAAGACCCTATGCAGAGCTGGATCAGGCGTTGCACACTCTGGGGGGTTATGTAGAGGCGACGGTTTCAAATAGGAAATAGGTTGCAAACCGGAACGGACTCAATATTCACTTTCTCTCTTGGTATTTTGATTAGAAAACATATGTCACAGTGAGACTACGATGTGTTATACTCCGAGCCAAAATTTCATGGCTCTGCGATGACCAGAAGCGCCATATCAAGCAGGTGAGTTTTTGACGTGTTGCTTCGCACTGCGACTTGAGTTTTACGACTTTCGAAAAATCAACTTCTTGTCGCAGGTAAACAGCGGCTCGCCTCTCGACAATAAAGCACCGCATACCAATCAAAACTAATGGAAGCACACACAAGGCTTATTGTTACTCTGTGCTGGCCGTCGTGGAGCGATAGCAATTACCTAATTTCAGACCCAGAGTGAATTTGACGGGCACTCTAAAACGTGTCCGGTTTGGAGCCACCTCTGATTTGAACTTTTTTGAAGCGAAAAATTGGGCAACTTGGAGGCAATGGGTCAACACAAAGGAGTGGCTCAGTTCGATTGACTCTGGCCCCAGAGCAAACTTCAACATGCCAGTTTCCTTCCACAAACATATTTCGAGTGAAAAATCAACGTTGATGATCGTTTTGGGTCTATACAAATTTGGCTGTCAAAACGTTCCGGTATCGAGCCGTCTCCTCTACTCTTGCTAGCATGTACGTCTGAACCATCCGGCCTGCAAAGTTTGAATGACGTAGG